GAGAGAGAGAGAGAGAGAGAGAGAGAGAGAGAGAGAGAGAGAGAGAGAGAGAGAGAGAGAGAGAGAGAGAGAGAGAGAGAGAGAGAGAGAGAGAGAGAGAGAGAGAGAGAGAGAGAGAGAGAGAGAGAGAGAGAGAGAGAGAGAGAGAGAGAGAGAGAGAGAGAGAGAGAGAGAGAGAGAGAGAGAGAGAGAGAGAGAGAGAGAGAGAGAGAGAGAGAGAGAGAGAGAGAGAGAGAGAGAGAGAGAGAGAGAGAGAGAGAGAGAGAGAGGCTTGCAACGTTGGTACAGGCGTTCAAACACCACTGTGGCGTTTTTTTTTTAACATCGCATCTGTTCCTCGGGACAGCTTACCAACAAACACTGGTAAGGCGTGGATGACAGCACCTTGTGTCGTCTTGACGAGAACGGCGACGACGGCGAGCGCCATGATGGCAATGCAACTCATCTGTCACAATCAGTTCATCGCACATGCACGCACGCATACACACATACGCACAATGATCAATCTAGACAGAGGTCGAAAATAACCTATGGGAACTTGATGCCATTCGAGACTAAGGCAGGGACGGACAATCTTGACCTGAAACAAGCCCACCGTCACGTCTATGGCTCGCACTTTAAGTAAACATAGGTAGATTCACTGCCTTTTTTTTCAAAGCAGATCATCAAATCAGTTGTATCCCGGACAGCTGCAAACTGGATGAAAAGAACACTGCCATGCGCAAGCTAGCTGGTTCAACTATAGCCTAGGGTAGGCGCGCGGCAACACTTTTTTTCCTTTCGCGCCCTGCAGATAACCTACGGGCTGGAACCTTGACCTGATCATTCGTGACACGACTCTGCTGTGTATATGCCAGACAGGATATAGTGTTTTCAAAAAAAATTTCAAGCACAAAGAAAGGAAGGTTCTGTAGTAGTTTTCGTCACCAGCATTGGCAGAGACAGCGCAGTCAAGTGCTCCTACGACTCGATGGGCTACTCGAGTGGTAGTCGTCCATCGCTAATACCCTGACACTGACAGGGCCAACATCAGACAGCCAACCAGACACAGAGTTCGTCTTACCTTAGGATTCATGGTGGAGACGTCGGAGGATGGCTGTCCGCTCAGGATTCCTTCGATTCAGTTAGTTCTGTGACTGAGAGTGTTGTGGCAGTGCTGTGACAGCGCTTCTCTAGTTTTATACTACGGTAGAATTGTGTGAATCCAGTTCCCAGAATTTTCCACCAACCGACGGACTCTAGTAGGCCACGTAGACTTTCAAGCCACTTCAACCAGGATCAAGGGTTATTTCCAGTCAAATTACCCTGGATAAGGAGACCACTTGGTACTAGAGACCATGTCGTGAAGGTCCCTGGAGCGGTCGTCTCACCCTCCCCCCCCCCCCCCCTCCCCTCCCTTCCAGGGTTGGTTGGTTGGTTGGTATATTTTATTTTACTTCGCCAGAATGAACAGGCATTGCTGCCTTCTTGCCTGGACAAGTGGATTGTCCAAGCTCTCACAAAAAGACGAAGAAGGGCCGGTTGGAGACATGATGGAATTCCCCAATGGATGTAACCTGGCTCAGGGAATAGTACCAAAACAACATAATTAGGGTACAACTTCCTGATTTATTACGTCATAAAATGCTTGAACAGATCACCTTCCGCCTTCCAGCACTGTACCACCAGCATGCAGGCCTCTGAAGCTTTTTTCTTTCTTTTTTCTTTTTCGGCCTCCAGCCGAGCTAGTCTCACGCGCGCGGACCGTGATTGTTTTCCTTTGCTTTTTACTTTATGGTTTCACTCAGGGAGTGGTAGAATACCGGTATTTTACGACTCCCTGGTTTCACTCTATCGGTTTTGTGAACAAACACGTTCTCAAAGTATGAGTGTAGTCTGAGTAGTCCACTGGTGTACCGTAAAAGCAGAAATTTTCGGTGGTATAACATTAAATCGGCGGTTCGGTGGAGGGAAATTTTCGGTAAAACCCGTTTTCCAGGTAAGTGTACTAGTACTAAATGTATACAGTACCGGTAGTACCGAAATTTTCGGTGCGTTTTATTTTCGGTAAAAATTGTCGGCACCGAAGTTACCGAAAATTTCCGCTTTTACAGTACGTGAGAGATTCGCTAGACTGCGTGACCGGCTGCTGCATGCAATGGCTTCGCTATACTAATGTCTGCATGGTGTTCTACTGTGCATCGATCCCAAACTCCTAAAGAAATCAAGGATGGCTGAATAGCAGTGTTGTTAGCTCTAGCATTGTGACCACATTACGATAATAGAATATAGAAAAGTAAAAGTGATAGAAAAGATGACAGATCGCGTTCCTAAAATTTAGGAAAGCGATCCTTTCAAACCAAGACTCCTCAAGACTGCTGCTAACCAACGCGCGCGCCAAACAATGGTGCCATCAACTACTTGTACTCTTCTTTCCGTGCCGAGGTCTCTAAGGGTGGGCGCTACTAAAATGACGGCGGCTGCACAGTAGGCATGAGCGGGTAATGCTAGCAGTATGGCTGGCATTATAGTCCCTTTTTTCCAGGTGGCATAATGCTGGCATTATAACACCATTTCGCATGCAAAATTGGCATTACAAGCATAATTGCCGGTCGACAGCCGTGTCATGCATGAAGCTGGCTAGGTCCAGTTCCGAAAATCGTGCATCTGAACCCGTCCGGCTTCGCCGGAGACTTGACGTTGCAAATCAACCTTCTCAGTGGATTGTTTCAGACAACATGCTCACTGCTGTTTTTAAAGTTTTTTTCTTCTACGCTTTGGCCTTGATCCAAGACGGCCTTCTTAAATCGACTTTTCCAACTTTCAAACTGGCATTATGGAGTAGTGTGAGCATTATAAGTGGCATTATATCCTCATATTATGAGCATTGCCTTTAGCATTATCGCAGCAAATAACTAGCATTACCCGCCCATGCCTACTGCACAGTTATTCTGCATGACGAACCAAACATTTCTGCCATGATAGTCACCCAGTGCGGACAATACGAAGCACCCATGATTTGTCCAAAGGTATACTGATATTGTCGAACTCAATTTTGCAATGTTGTTTGAACTCGGATAGTGAGCAATATAATCATGCATAAAAAAGGAGAAGGGCAAAATGGTACGAGTTATGACTAACTTCAATATTGTGTTTTTTTAAGGATTGAGAGAACTTCCACTTTCAAAGGATCCGTCAGGGAAGTGAACTGCCTGAAAAGAGAAAAAAATCCAGACCCACCAGGACACGAACCCGGGACCTCGTTTGACATGAGCAATACTCTAACCATCCGAGCTATGGGACCATATTGGGAGAAATTTAAATTTCAAAGGTTCAGTCGGGGAAGTATGTATTGTATGTGTTGTGAGCTGCCTTTTGGAGTGAAAAACTTGTCAGCGCCTTCTACGTTCGGCCTGGTCCCATAGCTCAGATGGTTAGAGCATTGCTCATGACAAGCAAGATCCTGGGTTCGAGTCCTGGTGCGTAGATGCTAAAGCGACGTTTCCATCTGTTTTCAAGGTCTGGGTGGAAAAGTCGCTTTAGCATCTCACAGTTTGCCACTGCATCACACACTCCTTTCTACCCAACGTCAGCTTTCGGGATTCGTGAAGTATTTGTCTTGTGCAGTTAGCAACTTTCAAATGTGACGTTTGACGTCCAAAATGATTTTGTTGGCTGTCAGATGGCTTCTACTGTGCACCCATTGTTGTCACCACGTCAGTATACTTTGTGACGTGTACTTTTTAGCGCAACCTATTCTGTGTACACTCATACCTCGGTTATCCGGACCCCGAAGTTACGGGCACTTCGGTCTACCGGGCACTATTTGGGCGAGTTTCAGGGGAAATATTACTACTCTTTTGTCACTTTTCGTAGAAATATTGACGTCATATGCCATATCGATGGCCTTTTCCCCATCAAGATGTACATGTATATGATTCGGAGTTACGGACATTTCAAAGTTACGGGCAGTGCAAGGTCCCGGACTGCCCGGATAAACGAGGTATGAGTGTACCTCTTTTTCTCCTTGCGATTGACTTAGCACCTGTGATAGTTGTGTCGGTAGGGTCAAGAGTACATAACCCCCCAGAGTGTGCAACTCCACTATGGGTGCTGTCCCGACAGAATTTCAAGTTGACGTCATTTTGATGATGCAATGCGCACTGTACACGGATTATCAGACGAATCCGGAACCTGTGGTTGACCGAAGCCGATCGATCCTGTACAAATTATTGCAAAGAAAAACGTGTGATGCGTTGACACCCGTACACATGTTGTAAATCACTGGTGCAAGGAGCATTGCGTCATTAATAATGACGTCAACTTGAAATTCTGTCGGGACAGCAGGGTATGTGGGAGTTGCACACTCTGGGGGGGGGGGGGGGGGGGTTATGTACTCTTGGTAGGGTTCATAACACCTCCGTTCTACCAAGAGTACATAACCCAAGAGTATGCAACTGTGATCTCTTTTCTATGGGCCAGATGCGCGGCGCGCTGCCTTCATTACATCATCCAGCTGCAGTCCGCGCACCGCGGAAAATCAAACACCGCACTTTCCCTCTAGTTTGAAATGAACTTTCGTACGGAACTGGAATTCACGCGCCAGAAATCAGAGATTGTGTAGGTACTGGAACGAATCGAGCAAAAACGGATGGGCTCGTGCGAGAAATTGAGAGTTTGAATGCATGCTTTCAGAGCGTGATGAAGGCAAGTTACGTAATGAAGGCAGCGCGCCACGCATGCAGGCATAATCACAGTTGCATACTCTTGGGTTATGGACTCTTGGTTCTACACTATTTCATTCGTGTTGTTTTGTCACACATGATACTAGTAGTTCGCTGAGTATACACACATTGCGCCAGTATCTTCTATAAAACAATAATCATTTAGTTCTACCCATTTCATTCAACATCTACCCCCTCCTCTGATGAGTTCCCAACATCATAATGGAACGAAACAAGGCTTGTCAGGAGCAACTTCAAGCTGTCGTGGAGTGTGACTGGTGCAGTGCTCGTGCTGGTGTCCGCAAGCGTCGTCTGGTCAAAAGAAAGATCTACCACTACATGTACATGCATGGTGCATTGTTGCGCAACGGGTCTAGAGTGAAAGACTTTTCATGGCTTATTTATGTTGTTCTTTAGTTTTATTTCGTAGTGGTTTTGGCTTGACTTTGTTGCATTGTTTTGGTTGCATGTGCAGTCTTCTGTACATGTCTACAACATGGAACGCTTACGTCATCGTCGCGCGTGCAACATTATTTCGCGCGCATGCTTATATACTGCCGCAACGTTTGTCCTTTTCTTCAGTTATCAGTTTTACCTCGTCGTGATCGGTGTTCTTGTCTGTCCGTCTTCGTCTTGTCAAGATATTAATATGTAGAACTTTTAGTTCAGTTGCGCTGTTGTGTGTGGCGAGTCGGATGGGTGGGGAGGCTGGGCCCCTGACGCCTGGAGAAGATGTGCTGGTGCACGAAAGTGCATTAATGATTCCAACTGTGGACATGGCTGACCAGTCTGGGTTATGTCGGACTGTATGTCTGATCAGAGATGCCATGTGCATGGTCAGAATTGTACAGAGCACAAGAAGACATAGACCTCCACTAGTTACATTTTCTAGACACGGTAGGGCAGAAGTTCTCCCGATGCTACATTACACATGACAATACGCCTCGACGCCAAGCATCGACTGGACTACGTTGCGAAGCATTATGTCGAGATATGAGCAACCGGTCAGATTTCAATTGCTTTTTGTCTCTGTAAAGTGATTCTTTTCTGGGAAAGTCCTTTGTGGACTCTTCAGCGCAGCAGCAAAGCGAGAATGAGGCCAAACCTGATGGCAATGAGAAGTTAATTTCCAAGGCCAGATTTAAATCAGGCCTGAGCTCACCTTGCCAGAGTGCTCAAACTGACACTTGAAGTCACTGCGCTCTGCACATATCTTCTAATAAAATATATATATGTTTGGGAGGGGGGAGTACTGCTACAATAGTATCATTTATCAGCATTATAGAACAATTCTAGTTTGTTGTCTCCTTGTACTTGTATCAAGGATATTGTTTAGTACAGCCTATCAGTATTGAGCTTAATAATGAAGCACTAGCTTGGCGTGCCCTCGAAGCCACCCATATATTACCATGGCCGCCCGAAAAGGAGCAAGGGGAATCTTGGCATGCCATCGAAGAGACCCAAGCACTACAACGCATTGGCTGATCGAGAAATAGCAAGGGGAATCGCTCTCGTGGGCGAATATAGACGGATTTCATGGAGCCGACACGACACGCGGAGAGTTACCATCATGAATGTTAGCTCGTGTTCACTGAGCCCCTGTACTGATCTACTAGTCACAAGCATACATATACACAAGCGCTGGGGCGCTGCAGCATTTCCCTGATTCGGGGATTCGAAACTATCGCTACAGTTGACGGAGCAGCGGTTCCAAGTGTACGCAACCGTCCCGTCCTCCGTCTCCTCAGCACTTCACCGTCTTGGTATTGAAACGATAACGAGTGATTGTTGATGGCTGCGGGATGGATCTGTACATGTATACACAGGAGAAGAAAACTTCATTCCGCTAGTGGACTATCACCAGACAGAAAACAAAGGGAAAGCCGTATTTAAATCCACTGGAAACCTGTTACAAACACAGAGAAGGGGAAAATCCATATTGCTGTGAACTTCTTGCACACTGCAATAATCAGACAGCAGCCTGGTGAGGCGTGCTGCCACTCAGGAGTATTGGCACAGGCCAGTGTACATAACTTATTGCGGCGGCAGTGCGCCTTAACCTGCCAGGGTGCTCAATGCCTGTCATGGGCAGAGCGAATATGATGATGTCTGACGATTGGTTGTTAAACCATGAAACTCTGAGTGACAACAAACAGAGCCCTGCTTTCTTTTGTGTACCTCAGAAAGCCAGCATGCGCCTCAAGTTACCTGAATCGGGTACAGCGACTCCAGCCCCACCAGCCGCACTTCGTAGTGAACCGCTGCCGGACATAGATTGTGGTGGGAACCTCCTCGGCAACAACCGTCTGCACTTGACGGTAGCAACCGACTGCGGAAAGTGAAGAAAAAGAAACACATGACAATATGGTGTAGACCCTGAGGTTAGTACAGTCGCGCTCGGTGGAATCCGACCCGGAGTGCGAATTTAGCACTCTCAACATGCAAGGCCCCTGACGCTCTGGAAGGTGGTATACACGCGGCTCGACGTACACCTGTACAAGTACACTCACGAGGATGTAATCAGAACTGGTCCCGGGCACCAGCTTTGAACTTTGGGTCGGATTTCAGTGAGCGCAACTACAGCGTCATGACACGTTGACATGTGCCATTTCGACCCCATCCTACCAGATTTTGAACGTGATTTTCGCCGATTTCGGTGCAGATTGTGCGTAATCGAGATCAAATCCCTCCTCAATGACTGCTGAGATGATGAACTGATTTCCGAATGTGTGGTGAGATGCTCGCCACTACAGAGGTATTTTGTGAACGAAAACATACCGCTTGGTATTGGGCAACAGCGCAGACACACCTCAAGCATGCCTCGTCATGACATGATGGCGTAGTCAATATCACCCCGAAGCTTGCATTCTGGGCATCGATTCGCAATTAAGTACCAATATTCAGCATCTTGCGACTCTTGATATGTAATTTGGCCCGTAATGACCAACACAACAGCGTCAGCTGCAACACCGGGTCAACCGGGTCAGCAATCCAGTTGGGGTGTTTGGTCTCATTTGGGAAAAGGAGTCGTGTTTTTCTTTTTCTTTTTCCTACTTCAAGGGGTACACGTTGATGTGAGAGGCTGCAGCTAGAGCAGGCACGGGCATGCAGGCGTGCGCGGATAAAGTGCCCAGTGCGTTCACACATGCACAGTAAAACCTGGTGTAGGCAACCTCTGTGTTTAGCGACCACCTGCTCGTTTTTCCCATGCGCCGACAGTCCTACACAGACACTGCGGGACTTGGTCCTAAGGGCCGATTCCCACTACGGTACCGTGAGTGCCGTGCTGACGATTTGGGTAGGTCACGTGTACCTCACGGTACGAGCTTGACGCTGAGAGTGATTTACACCTGCGCACAGCCATTCCGTCGGCAGGCCGGATCACCATTTTTTTTATCAATTTCTGACTTTGGTCCTGAGGGAAAATAGCGGGGGCCTGGGAGATGACTGGAGAAAGCTCAAGAATCAACCAATCGAAAAGCCAAAAGCCAAGAAAAGACTTCGTACCACAAATACAAAAGAAAGAAAAACTTCCTTTCAGGGAGTAGTAAAATACCTACTACTCACTGCATTCGACCTCGCGGAATACCACGGCATGCCATTTCCACCCCCCAGAGGCCCTCGGCACTGGAATGTCCACGGCGCGGTACGGCAGGAGCCACGGAATGAACTCGCGCCAAAACTGCCCTTCACGTGAGCAAATCGCCATGGGTACTCATGGCACGGCACTCACGGTACCGTAGTGGGAATCGGCCCTAAAGACCACCTGGCTTCAACGACCGTTTTTGTTTGCACTGTGGGGTGGTCGCGTAAACCAGGATTTACTGTACCATCATGTACATCAAAGAGTGGCAAAATATTTACGACCCTCTGATGTACAGTAGCCGCACTTGAATTTGCTGTACATGGCTCGGACCCAGTAGCAAGAGTCGTGCCAGCTACACGTGTACCTGGTTGGTTTGAAAGCCTAGAGTAGACACTGCACACTGAGTATAATGTATGTCTAGGGTTTGGGCAAACTCTACTGTGCAAAGTTATTACTGGCTCGCTACAGTCTATTCATTGGAAACTGGCACCCTAACTTTTTGGTGTCTCTCTCACATAGTTGTAGATATCGTGAAAACAACAGTACATCCTGCGTTGTGTGACCCGTGCAATTACTCCTTGCCACATTTGAGGCCAGAAAAGTCCAAGAACAGGGAAATAAAAATTCAGCCAGGTTTTACAAAATTAGGACAGGTATGCCATGGCAAAATGTATGGAGAAGCAGATCCAAACCCCAGATTTTTGAGATTTTTGATCCTCAATTCGGCCCAAATCCGACTTTCAAAAGCCAGCGGGCCAGTTTCCAATGAATGGACTGTAGAGGCGCCAGAGTGTAAAGCTTCAGTATAAAATATAGAAGAGAGATGGAAGAGAGATGGTGGTTAAAACGAACATGGCAAAATGGCGGCAAATGTAGTTTTGGCAACGATGCTGATAATGCTGCATAATGCATACTGCATCCATTGGAGTCTTCACATCAGATAGAGCATACTATCTTAATTATGAGATATTAAATTTTATATTTTGTGTTAGGTACCTCCTCCCGTACCTTTTCTAGCTGGCCTGCATGCATTTGCGGACTCACCTTTTGTCTCCTTTTGTTCCGTTGGCCTGGGTACTACTTGCGCGCCCATATTTGCCATAGCTACCCAGGCCCTTTATCTTGCCGTTCAGACTTGCTCTCTTTTCTCACTCGTCAATAATCACCATGTAGTCGTTTCGTTCGTCTTGGTCTCTTGTCCCGTCTCTAATAAATGTCGTTCCACCAACCTACCTGTTCCCGTTGTAATGTCTGGATAATGTGTCGTCAGTCGTCCTTTTCTCGTATTCAACATTGGCGCCCGATTATTGATCGACCCACGACCCTGAGATCATCCCATGCCCAGCCATCCTCAACCGCCATTCGTCTCGTCTATGTCAACCTCGTCTCGTCCATGTTGGTTGGTTGGTTGGTATATTTTATTTTACCATTCCCATGTCAGTCTCGTCTCTCCTACGCCAACCTCGTCTCGTCTCTATCAACCTCGTCTCTCCTACGCCAACCTCGTCTAGTCTCGTTCAAGCCATGCAGGTCAGCTACCTTTCTCTCTTTCTTTTTTTTTGTATGCGTTCCTTCTTCGTCAAGTTTATATTCGTGAATTTTTTTGTAGTGTGTGTGCGCGCGTGTATTCATAAAACATTACCAAGTTAGGGGTCCGATCATGGTGAGCCACGCTCTAATTTTTGGATGTTTAGCAAAAGTGTAACTAGGTTGTATTAGCCATGCAAAATACTAGTAATTCACCTTCCTCGTCATACTCCAATAGTTATTGCACACTATAAGTAGTACAGGAATGATCTGTAGTGCATTTTTAGTACACACTTTTGTGAGATCCGTGCGCGCGTGCAATATGTGTGTGTGTGTGTTTTTTTTCTCCTTCAGTCATTTTTTAAATCTTTTTCTCTCCGCGAGGACGCGGGATTTTTTTCATGGAGGGGTGGTATGTTAGGTACCTCCTCCCGTACCTTTTCTAGCTGGCCTGCGTGCATTTGCGTACTCACCTTTTGTCTCCTTTTGTTCCGTTGGCCTGGGTAGCTACTTGCGCGCCCATATTTGCCATAGCTACCAAGGCCCTTTATCTTGCCGTTCAGACTTGCTCTCTTTTCTCACTCGTCAATAACCACCATGTAGTCGTTTCGTTCGTCTTGGTCTCTTGTCCCGTCTCTAATAAATGTCGTTCCACCAACCTACCTGTTCCCGTTGTAATGTCTGGATAATGTGTCGTCAGTCGTCCTTTTCTCGTATTCAACATTTGTATGGGAAGGAGACAACCTCTCTGAAAGCTCTCTCGTTTCCGTACAATGATAGGGATGTCAGCGCGGACACTGCGCAGGGCTTTGCGCATTCAATGATGTAATCGATTTTTCAACGCGGCGATGGCAGACTGAAAGAAAATGACGATCGCCAAAAACCGGCTCGGTGAGTCGGTATTTGACAACTCCCCGATGCAGCTCGACCTAGATTTTGAAGTTTGGAACATTTTTAGAGAGAAAGAGAGGAAGAGAGAGAGAGGGAGAGAGAGAGAAAGAGAGGGCTAGAAAGAAAGATTACTCAAGCTAATGCCTCAGTAGAGTCACTAGAAGTTCTGGGCACACTGATAGGCTAATATCATCTGACGATTTCCACAGCTTGTGCCGCTTGTTGCAGAGCATAAGTTAAAATGCGCCGCCAGAAGATCGGCGATCGTGAAGTCGGCTTTGGGTAGATTTGGCTTTCGCCATCCCGAGGAGCCGCTCCTGTTGCCTGTGAGAACCAAACCACGTCTCCACACGACTACTCGAACAAAACCCTGTCCACACCTGACAATCGATGTCTCTGGAACAACGGCCCATGCACGGCGATATGTGAGAATTGCAGAAATAATAGTATTAATACACAAGAACGAACACCGTCACGTCGAGCATGAACGCTTCGGTCAAATTTCCTGCAAACTCTCAACATCCAACATCAAGTATTTCTGCCGGGTTTACCATTGAATCCAGAGCTTTTCCCCGGTTAAATCCAGAGATTTTCAACTCGGAGATCGTGGCAACGATCGGCATGGTCGCCATTTTCCGCTCTGAAAGAACCCTGTCGTTTGGAACGAAAACGGCTTCGCGCCTTCCAACGAAAGCTACAAATTGATTCCAGAACACATGGGCGGCCAACATACCAAACAAGATCCCATTCTGGTAAGCAGGTAGCCTGTAACCACCATCTCCTTGCAAGGAAATTTCAGCCATTTCTCCTTCGTTCAAGGTCTCAATTTTCTGGCAAAAAATAGCCAGTGTTTGGCAAAAATTCTGCATGCCACTTCTGATGCACGTTTGGCTGCATGCGCGAACTGCATGCGCAGTGTACGCGCTGAGATCCCTAACAATGAGGGAACCTTTAAAAGTTCTCTCATTCCCATACAATTGTATCAACTGCGATACAAAAAATCCGGGAAGTGAACTGCCAAAAAAGTAAAACAATGTCTCCGGGAGTGAACTATTTGTCAGGGCCTTCTAAGTTCGGCCTGGTCAGGAGTCTCAGATGGCTAGAGCAATGACCAAGATAAGCAAGGTCCCAGGATTTTTAGTGGGCCAAAGTTGTTTTATACCCCATGGAGGAAAGTTTACTCACGCTTCAATGCATGTCCGTAAGCAATGCACATACTGGTGAAAAAAATCTGCAAATCGCCTGCTCCATAAGACCACTTCTTCTTTGGAATTAAACAAGCGGAATGCTCAAGGATCACCCAGGCATCACCTCCCCACACAACAACACAAAGACGCACACACCAATACAAACGAGTTTCACACCAACACACCAGACATGCACACACGTGACAACAACACTATGACACCACAGGCACGGGATACATGCACGAAGCGGAGAACACCTACGAGACAAAAGACAGGACTCGGAAGAAGACCAACATTCGATCACAATGCACAACGGTCAACGAACAAAGCAACAGCCCTAGCCAGTCAGGACCTCAAGACAAACCATATTCCAGTCCACACACCCACACCCACACCCACACCCACACACACACACACACACACACACACACACACATACACACACTGTCGCCTTTCAGGTTTTGCCACACTCGACTTCACAACAAATGTCCAGGAATTCAGAACAAAACAATGCATTCAATCACCACACACCACACTCTCTCCAATGCTCTGCATTATAAATTTCCAACATTTGTTTTAATAAACAAATTCACACGCTACTACATGAACCATGCTACACAAAGCGATACATTACTGGTTCAACGCTTGCACATCTCTACTCCATGCGTTCAAAAAGAAATCACACGAGGGTCGAAAGGCAAAGGGCAAATCATCGGGCACACCAGCACATTGTGAAATTCATCGATTCTGCTGCTCAGTACAATCATTCACAGATAGACATGCTGGTTTCTGCCAACAAGTAAATCCAGTCCAGCCAGCAGTGCGGTATGAAAACGGGCGACGGAAGGAAGATTTTCAGCTCGACATTCAGCCACAACTTGCCAAATTTTGAGAATACTACCAGCCAGTTTTTTGTTCTTCAGCATTGGTGTCTGTTCCATGCAGACTTATCACCATACACATAGTTTGCCAGCAGTATATGACACTATAGGCATATTGGCCTGATCTTGGGAAGCGAAAAAAAATTCTGCAATGCTGTATTCTGCACTTGTGCTCCAAGAATGAAAACTGAAGTTAGGGAAGTTTAGCACGTTATGTTTCATCACGGACATGAAGATTGATACACTTTGCAGGGCACACGCTACTGAACTACATCACTCCAGCAGTGCTTAGGGTACAAATATACAGTCTACTATCGATTTTCCTGTACACAAACACACACACACCAGAAGTATACGATAGATTCACGCTCTCTGGTCACTGAACCAGTCAGTCCCACTGATACGAGGACACAAACATGAGCACGCAAACACACGAGAACTCTCTAACACACAGCGACACGGATACACAGGGACGCAAACATACAAGAACACAAACAATCAAAACACAACACACACAAGAACACTACGACAAATATACACAAGGACTTCCAACAAGCGACTCACGATTACACATAATAGTTTGTAAATTCGTGATACTTGTACATACATGTATATCTACTTCGTGCAGCAAGGTTAGTTTGCTGCAACTCTGAGCTTCATGTTCATGATGCTATCAATAGGCACCAATGTGGATAGTCCACTTGATCATGCTGCCATATCGTCAACATTATGTATTACAGTTAGATGGGACTTTGCTCTGGGAATGGAAATTCTGTCGTTATTCGCGAATTGTCGTTACATCCGCAGTCGTTACTAGCAAAGCTAACTGTATATGAGGGAGAAAATGGGTACTGATAGCAGAGGTGTTGAGCTTTGGGTGCATCTACATCTACAGCCCATGCGTGCCCATCTCACCCTCACAGGGTAAAAGCGTGTCTCGGTGAAACAGAGCCCCGCTGAAAACCGGCCCCGTACCCAAAACATCGCACCCCAAGCTACATGTGCAGAGTACAAGTCTATGATACAAAAGGTGGTCAGATCATACAACACATGAGTATACAAACACGCCACATAGTACACTGAAAGCTCAGTAGAACATACTTCTGGATATACCATGATACGTATGGCGTGTAAAGCACTGTTTTCCATGACCCAGTGCTATTACCGTACTACACTAGTTATCTTACCTTCGGATTTGCAGAACGTCAAAGAAGTATGTTATACCGAAGCTTCACTGTGTTGATATTTAGCTGCCTAGGGTAAAGGACATGATGTCATGACAGGTGTTTTTTTCTTCCTTTCTGGCGTGTTGTAGTGGTTGTCTGAAACGTGATGGATAGTTTCGGAAACAATTGTGACAACCGTTTTTTCCTATCCCTGGCCAAGCATGTTTATGAAGGCATATACTGGAGAACAGGATTGTTCACAGTGATATTTGTGCATGTGGGTTTGGGGGAGAGGGAGAGGGAGAGAGCGAGCAAGAGAGGGAGAGAGAGAAAGAGAAAGAGAAAGAGAGAGAGAGAGAGAGAGAGAGAGAGAGAGAGAGAGAAATCCTCTACAAGCTACTCAAGCGACTTACCAGCCTGCGGTACAGGGAAGACTTCGTACAGCTGCGAAGAGCTCTGGCAGTTGGGCACCACGCCGTCGACGCGGTACTCGTCGAAGCACCAGCAGTTCATCTGGCCGTGCACGGTGGCGTAGGTAGTGCCGTGGCGACGGCAGCGGTGCAGGCAACGGTGCACGCGGTCCAGCTGCGCGTGCGTGAAGTCCACGCGCGTTACGGGCCGGTCCGGGTTCCACGGCGGCTGCGTGAAGCAGCCAAGCCGGGCAGCTGCAGACACGCAGGAACAATTTCAGGGCTCGCAATTACGTAGAAAAGCGTCGGATCAATGTGGGGGGGGGGGGGGAGGATGTAATGTGCTCCAAAATGCCAGCTCAACCAATCAGAAGTCAGCATTTCGTCGCATTTTAGCTTGGATTAGGTCGTGCTTGAAGGAGTGCACAGCACTTCAGCTAGGGTCTACAAGGCTGGGCCTTGGCCAGTCACAGACGACACCCGTTTCAAAACAATTATCTAGGAACTTGTTCATTGCTCACACGGGTACGTGAGATATAGTACAGCAGAAGAATGGAGTACTGTAGAACGGGTAATTTAGCGTTTTCCCATTGTCAACCGGTTAGCGACGTTTTATTTTAGCGATTTGCAGCGATTTTACTCACGGATCACCAGTGCACTACTAATGTCTCAACGGATTAGCGACTTGTAACTTTAGCGAAAATGAGTCGATCGCTAAATTCGCTAGGGTTTTTACGTCGCTAAAATTACCCGTTCTACAGTATGCAAAACCTGTCAGTGAGGAGGGGGGGGGGGGGCTACACACGCTGCCTAACAGGTGTAGTAAATTCCCTGAAATCAATCTCTACAGTGTTGAGCTTACTTTCGCATTGCTTTCCCGTGTCGCAGACTCTGATCTCGGAAATGTCTCGTTCGGGACATGCCCGTGCTCCTTCTTCAGGTGGAACGCAGGTGCGCGACCGTGTCTGCAGTCCGCGGTCACACTGGGCATCGCACTCGCTCCAATCGGAGAAATCCGTCCAGTAGCCGTCACCTGCACATATAGTCCAAAGTACAATCTTTTCAATACCGGTGGTCCTGGCAACGGGTACTACCCTTACTCACAGTTCTCGCTAGGTAAAAAAATTAAAAATTGTGGGAGGGGGGAGGGGAAACAGCTACCCCGTGATCCATTTTTTCGTTTTCCAGAAGTGTCTTGCCACGCAATATGCAAAGTACAAGGGCAAAACCCCTGTACCCCGACTTCACCCCAGACAAATGTGCCTTTTCGAAAAATGATTAGGGTGTGGCACTTTTCACAACGGGGGGGGGGAGGGGGGGGGAAGAGAGAGAGAGTCGTCCAATCAGAGTAGGGGAGGGGGTGCTGCCCCCCCCCCTCCCACCATTTTGGCTGGAACCCTGCTTACTTGTCAGCGCATATGGAAAGGGTATAACGTGCAAGGTTCAAAGAGGACAAATAACGTGCAAGGTTCAAAGAGGACAAATAACGTGCAAGGTTCAAAGAGGACCCGGAGCTTACGTTTGCACTCGGGCATCGGTGCGCTCCAAGTGTCATCAGAGCGGCAAGTTCTCACACGGGTACCGACCAAGGTGAATCCTATATCGCATCTGTGAGTGGCGGTGGTGTTGTAGCGTTGCTTCTCGTTGGCAGGTTCGTACATAGTAGAGCCATTGACCAAGTCGTTGTCCGCTGGACAAAATGATGCTGGACACAAAACCGGAAATGCATAACATATTTATACTTCAAGTAGTAAAGAAAAAAGGACCAAGAAACTACAAGTTACGCTATAATGTCCACTAACACCACCAGTCACTAAACAATCAGCTCATTCTTTACTATAAATGTATCCTTGCCTCTCCATCCGAGTGCATAACATATTATGAGTAATTGTTCACGTAATACAGTGATGGTTCCACTTGAACCGGGCTATGCGCAATCTGATGATCAATCATTTGCATTGAAAAGAGTTCTAGCAGAACAGTCCTATCTTCTTATTTCTATGTGTAACTTTTGCCGATTGCTTTTCATTGCCATTCTGTACTCCAAGTCTGGAGCAGTGCAGATTTGTACCACAATGCACAGACACACGAAACTCAGTCACGGGCTACAACCCTGCTTTGCAATCGAGTACTAGTACTTGGCAACCGGTCATGCTTTCACACCGAGACCAACAACTACTTCATTTTCAGATTCATTGCCCAAACACTACCCAGGCAAGTGTGCATGTTTTAGTCACGGTGTGAAGCGGAGAGGAAGTAGCCGAGGTCATAATATTACAGCACAGACATAATTCGTGTAATAGCAAGAGTACATAACCAAGAGTGTGCAACTCCTATCTCGAGCTGTGATGGGTTCACCCACGGCGGAATTTTTTTCATTGCGTCATTCTTTGGTAGAAGTATGACCAAGCGTGTATGCTTTCCCGCGCTTGTTTTGTAGATACGATGAGAGTTCACCAGGTTCAGGACACATCAATCTATTGTCTGCTGTTCCGCTTCGACTACCGTAGCAGCGATGTACAAATTCTTTTTTTACTTTGATCTCTGGCCACGCATGGTGGCATCAGGGAGCCAAACAGCCGCCAAAGACTGATGCCATAAAAAAATTCCGCCGTGAGCTAGGAGATCGCCGAGTTGCACACACCTGGTTATGTACTCTTGATAATACCGTAAAATCCCGCCAGAGCGCCCCGTCTCTCCTATCCGCTCCTCCCTGACTTCTTGTCAGGGACGTGATTTCTCGTATCTCGGTCGCAGTCTGTGATGCCGTACTGTACTGCAGACGCGTGCTCGACCCCGTTGGAAGTGTACGCAACAGTGCCCACCCTCTTGACCAGGGATCGCACAAACCCTGAGTTTTGACGGGTCTGTACGACTCGTGGCTCTTGACCTTTGGTCGGTGTACGAGATGCACGGACAGTTTTCGTAGGGTGAGTACTTTTTCATGTAGCACTGAATGCGGCAAGTAGGACTCGCCCATCCGCCCCTCCCCACCTGAAGCGTCGAGGAGGTAGGGGCGCTCTGGCGGGATTTTACAGTAGTAACAGGCTGGTGCAGGCACCAATACTTACGCACGCATCGCGGAAAGTCATCAGCCGGGAACCAGGCGCCTTGGCGGCAGGTCTTGCGCTGGGCACCGCTCAGTTCGAAGCCTTCGTCGCAGAAGAACTCCACGCTGTTGACTCGATTGAGCGTAAATCCATCTCTCGGGATCGGGTGCGATGTGCAAACTAGATTGTGGCAGAAACATAGGAGAACCTATCTTAATATAACACAATGCTCAGGCCCGCCGGAACCGGTCCGGTTGGTCAGGTTAACACCGGGCCAACAGTATGGCTACCTGTGCATGTTTACTGCTGAGGAGGGCATAGGTACCCGCCATATTATACACGAAGTATGAAAGACTTTGGTACGACCGGACCAATCGAAAACTCCTTCCGGCAGTCCTGGCGCTGGAAGTACTTGCGTGGCACCGATGTATTTCAGCCGTGTTTTTCGGGATGACCTTACCCAGTCATTGCATGACTGTAAGCATGACATAATTGCGCAGCATGCACACTCGCAATGGCCAACTGCACGTGTCAGGTGTGATAATTTCTAATCCACAGAACAGGACTCTGGCAAGACATACCGCTATGGTGCACAAGAAACAGCATCTCGCAGTTACCAATCCATTATCATAGCCTTCTCAGGGCCGTCCGCAATTATCGATCTTGTTCACGAAGAGCAGAATTTTCGCCTATGGGTGGGTTGAGGAGAGTTTCGTTTCGAAAAATATCAATAGCTGAAACATTAATCTATTCTACAGTCCATTTCAAAACTATAGACGCGCAGTGTTTTTGAAATATTTCAAATTTGGCTGGAACTTTTTGAGAATAGTTTTCGGAATATTGCTCAGGTTCGCTCCACAATTACTCTCATACAGTTTCTAAACGATTGGATAACAGGACGCCCAATTTGGAAAAATTTATGCACAAAATGATCACAGATTTTATGTGGTATAAATGCTGGCATAAAGGTTTTTGCCTAGGTACGCGTCTATAGTTTTGAAATGGACTGTAGCTGTCAAGTCAATATATTTTTCGTTCAAGGGGATGGGTGGGTACCGGGTGGGGGAGGGTCATAACTAAACTTTTTCGTTCCGTGAAAATTATCGATATCGCCGGATGGCCCCTTTACACTTAAGTGAACTAGCAGGAGACTGAGTCCAGGGCTTTTGTGTATGATTTCACTGTGACATTAAATAGAGATCCGCTTTCCCCAATATGTCTGAACTGAGCAGGTTCATGCAACGACAGAGTATGTACTACTTCACCACCCGATATCTATTCTATTCTATTCTATTCTATTCTATTCTATTCTATTCTATTCTATTCTATTCTGGCGCTAGAGCAAACGAACTACCTTAAAATGCCTGCGGTGCCTCGTAGCTCGTAGCTGTACTGATGAGGCCTTCATGGCCGAAACAGCTTGCTGACTACAGCATTGGGAGATCTATTCCAGGTTTTTAAAGCAAAAGGTTCACATCTAGCAGTACATGTATGTTCATAGTGTATATACCTTGCACACTGGGTGGCAGCATGCATGTCAGCTGACCACAGCCCTGTCGGCACGAGCAGAGATACCATTCCAGGTTTTTTTAAAGCAAAAGGTTCACATCTAGCAGTACATGTATGTTCAACTTCATAGTGTTTATTAGTACCTTGCACATTGGGTGGCAGCATGCATGTCAGCTGACCACAGCCCTGTCCGCACGAGCAGACATACCTGAGCGGGCATTCCGTGTCGCCAGCGCAGTACTGGACGCCAGACGGGCACTGGGTGGTGACGTCCTGGCGCTGGCAGAACGCTTGCAGCAGTACGTAGTCGACGCGGTTAGGCTGAGAGTCCGGATCTGAGATGGAACAAGGACATGAATGTACATGACTGTAGTGAAATATCAATGCTCTCAGCGGTCCGTGCCAGACAGAGAGATACTGTGTAATGTCTATGAGGCTGTATTTTTCATTCATTCATTCATTCATTCAAACTTTATTAAAAGGATTCTCAAGGGAAGTAAATGAATACTGTACTTATCAGGGGGGTTTCCCGGAAGGGTGGATGGCGGGATGAAAGTGAAGTGAAAAGGGGTCTGCACGACGCTATGCCTAAACATGTTACCGTCCTTTAAACTGACCAGTGGCTACGTGTTGCAACACAGGAACCGGGCAGAATGGGACCTTTCGGGCACAAGAAAAGCACGGTTCTCATGGAATTTGGGAAACCTTTCAAGGCCAGACATAGACATCCCATGAGTATCAGGGACCAGAAAGAGCTAATTTTGCCTACTAATGCATCCTTCCCCAAGCGCAGGGCTTTTTCCAGGATCATTAAGAGCAGCAGCGAGCTCACCTGAGTACTGGCACAGTCAGACTGGCTTATCCGGTCCTCTTTTTTCCGGACCCCTCACCATTCGCAAGAAAATCGTTGGTTACCGATTTACGGCATATGCCATGCATACACGCGGCATGTGTGTTCGATTATCCGGTTCCCTCGCCTATCAGGATTTAAGTTGTAGAAAACGGATGTGTGCGGTTATGCGAGGTCTGACTGCACTCACCTACCACCTTCAGCCGGTCACTGCTACTCTGAGCATTCAAACTGGTTGCCAGAAGCAGCAGCAGGAGCGGCAGCATCAGCATTGGGCCGGCGATGCTTACCAACGTAGCCATTCTGTGCTATGAAGTGACGGGATGGGTGTTTGGGAATAACGGGACTAGCCGAGCAGACTGGCCACAACACGGACACTTGAGCACCTATACAGAAAATACCAGACCATCACAGGCGCCGATTAGTACATGGAACTGAGTTGTGTGTGACAGCTGAGGCCAGACCGGGGCTTGTTGAACATCAGATCATACAAGTACATGTACTATTCAGACCCGCCGGAACCGGTCCGGTTGGTCAGGTTATTACCGGACCAACTTTTCGGTCTCCAACAGGTGTTTCCTACTGTGGAGGGCATGTGCACCCGCCATATCATGCACAAAGTATGGAAGGCCATGATACCACCAGAACAATCAAAAACTGCTTCCAGGAATCCTGCCAGTATGACATCCAAAAAATACCTGGAGCTTACGGAACACTCACAAAGTGATGCAAGGCCGTGACCTTGTATAAGCTATGCTTTGACGTATTGCCGTAGTAACTTCCTTTCAAAACCAGGATGTTCATTCTTCTTGACAGATCAAACCAGGAAAGATTGCTAACTCACTTCATTCCATGCACGGCATTAACCTATACATAGGCCTCAGTTATCCAGACATGGGCATGTGGGTGGGTGGGGGGGGGCTGCTTTGGATAAGTTTCTGTGGATAGTTCACTGCTTTTCACACAGGTCAGACCTAACAATAACGTATTCTCTGGGTTATGGCAAGTTGTATGTTATAGCGAGGTTATGTTATAGGGAGTTGGGCACACCGGTATGCAATACGTGCATGTACGTCAAACTTGGAAAAAACGAACCCCCGCCGACTGACTTCATTGCAGTGGAGCAGAGCGTCCAAAAACAGCAACATAATTCAGCGGGATGGTCTTAGTGGCATTGTCTACTCTCAAGAAGACTGTTCGTTATGCCAAAGGTTAAACCACCCATGCTGTTGGTTTCCACTGTACCGCCGTAGACATTGAAATCCGCCCCATACGGGACTGACGTGCGCCGAAGAACTTGGGGGTCAGGGTTCTAGCCTAGCCCGTTCTTATTGTTAGCGAACACAGCAGTTTTGTTCTTATTCGATGGTACAGTCTCAGTACGTGTACATTTACGCAGAGTTATACATCTGAGTGTACATTATAGTGTGTACTACGGTTTCCGTTCTTATCTGCAAACCAGCCTACACCGTTCTTAAAAATTGGTGAAATTCAGTTTCTTGCCTGGCCGTTCTCGGCGCCCGACAGTATTTTACTGCTTTCAGGGCGTACATGTACTGACACAGTCTGTAGTTTTGAGGTACCCACAGTAAACATGGACAAGCAGTGCTCGCAGCTGCAAGGCCAGCGCCCCGTGACCGCTTGACTTCTCAACGGATTTCAATATTCGCTACAGTACAGTGAAGCCTGTCTAAGACGACCGCTCAAGGGACCTTCAAAACGTTGCCTCTGTTACCAGGTGGTCTCCTTATCCAGGGTCATTTGACTGGAAAAAGCATCCTTGGTCCTGGTTTCAGTGGTCTTTTAGGACAGGTGGTCGCCTAATCGGAGTGGTTGCATTGACAGGATTTACTGTACTTCTACGCAGCACTGCATAGCAGGAAGCTGTAGAAGGCGAGACTATGGTGTAGATGCAACTACAGTCCGTATCGCCTATAAGGTTGGCGGCTATAGTAATATACCGGATATAGTGATCAATTTCTCAAATTCATTTTCATTTGCCATAACTAAGTATACACAGTTATCGCGTATAGTAATAATCGTCTATAGTAATATATCGCCTATAGTGATCAAATTCATATTTCAAAAGACGTTTATTACACTATTTTTGCATCAGTTATAGTGATTGATGTGAAATCAAGCGATGTCAGAGGAGAACAGGGTGTTACTTCTTCGTGAAGAACTTGTCCAGTGAGTGTTGTTTGGTGAGTTTTGCTTGTACAAGTTGCCAAAATATGCCTCCATCATGAGGAAATCCTGATTTTGTGTGTCCGGAGCTACAGCCAGCTATACGACATTGTACATGTATGTAGTGCGTACGTGCACGGCGCGCGGAGTCGTTTGACACCCCACTCGCATACATTGCATGCAGTATCGGTCATAGTAATAATATCGCTTATAGTGATAAAATGCTCAAAATCAAACACCAACGCTATAGGCGATACTGACTGTACATGTACATGTACCTGGCTGATGTGGGATGATCTGATATGCTTCACCAGATGACCGATTGATCAGTCTGATTCAAGACAGTGCTTTTTCATGCACACCATGCCTCCTATTGGAATGCATTGAGGTTACATGCTATGGTCAAGTATGGTGGGTGTTCACCGCTACCAGTACCACAGTGAGTGACTCCACAGACTGTGACTGGCAAGTGGGATAGACAAGTACAGTGTAAGCTGGACACCAGATCAGCCCCCCCCCCCCCCCCCACACACACACATACAGTGTTGATACACACAATGTCATCATGTATACCCACACGCACACACGCACACATGCAAACTGCCTCTGTACTGTAGCCCTAGTGCGCTGGAGTTATCTGGTAACTGTGGTAGTGGCTAAGATCAAACACGACTCGACTAGCCACTTGACCAGCAAGTGCGCTTCCGATTTGTATCTGTGTGCACTAAGTAGCGGTGTGGCATAGACTGATGATAGTCGACTCGCTCGGAAACCGCTAAGCTCGAAGACAATCGACCGCTTGAAAATGGTAACACTTCCAACAGTAAAACGCGCAACATAACAATAGGGTACGTAACGCACACGTCTCCACGGGACCCCAAGGGACACATACAGAGAAGTATAACAACATGACTGCACAAGCCGCTCTTACCTCTCAAGGACAATGTCAATGGATACGAAGGTGTGCGTGTGGCTCCAGCTTCCGAGCATTCGCCTCGCACTAAGTTAGTTTCCAGACCTCGACGGAGTACCGGCCCGCCAAAGCAATCGAAATGTGCCAATGCCGATGGGCACCAGTTTCCACTGAACTAAAATCCTCCGCCGCTGAATGTAATCGGAGTGCGAACCTCAGAGCCTATCCCACAGTCCAAGTAACAATATTTTTTATTTTGTGCAAACCCGAAACGCTATTTGGCTGGTCGAAGCACAACGTCGAAGCTCAACTTGTCTCAGACAAGATGTTCTTCGCTTTGCTGCAGTTTAGCTCAAGCAAGGAGATTTTCACCTTGTGGCACGCAATTCAATCGCGCAAGTAACCAGTCAGTTGGCGTGGGCAAGGGCAGCTAGCTGAAATCCAACGCAACTAACTCACAAGCGCTCGACTGCCTTGGCCCTTGTCAACTGGCTTGAGCTATCGCACTGACCCTGTTGAACTAACTTACTTGATGTCACTCTCCTATCAGTCTCGAATGGTTCATGTCATACAGAGTCAGAGGTATCTACGTGGCCTAGATCTACGACTACTCGCTGTACGTACCTGATATCAGCGCTAGACTGACAGCACGGCCGACGACGCACGAGACACGGGGGGCACGGCTCCGAGGAACTCGAACTCGAGGAACTGAAAAGCGAAAAGCCAGAAAACTATGGAGATTGTGATGCGTCTAAAATCCACCAGGAATCCACAGGAAAACTACTCAGACTGCACTGTTATTATTCATTGCAAAAGAACACCGAAAGGCCAAACCGCATGGTGAAGACTAATGTCTAGACTACTGAAGGATTCTCTGAATCCTTGTGCCATAACAAAGAGAAAATACAGAATGTGTAGTGCGAATGTGTAGTGCGCCAAAGTTAGCGTATGTAGATCTACAAACATGTATTCTATTTATTACAACATCTCAAGACTCGGTGGAAACACCGGCCAATGTTAAGAGCAGGGAGTAGTACAATACATTATTGTACTACTCCCTTAGAGAGAGTGGGTGATTGCCAACCACGGCGATAAATAAAAGCAAGAGTACGTACTCTTGATAAAAGTAAGGGGAGGGAAAAAGAAAGAGTAGCAAAATGAATACAACGCGCAATCAAAGGAGTACATATCCGGCAAAGGACACGAATGGTGTACGGTAAAGGAAGACACGTGCATGCATGTGGTACCCTACCAAAAGTGGACAAACCTAACGTAAATATCCACATGGTACTAATCGAGTACCGTACGCTACATATTTATGCAAAGCAATATCAAAATAACATACTACATGTAGCATAAAAGAAACCAAATAATTTAATTTCAAAACACATGGAAAATCTCCGTAAAACAAATCGTTAAAACCGTAGCCTACTAGGCTTATCGCAAACCACTACAATTGGACTCGCAATACTTCCGCGCTCCAATGATGCCCATTAATTGTCATTGAACCATTCATATTCAACAGGCTGCATGAATCATGTGTGCAGTGGCACCTCACGTCAATGACAATGACAATGGTACAGTCACGACCTCAATGGTCATTGAAGGGTGTGAAGTCCAGTCCGGACTACACTGCGACAGACTCAGTTCGGACAGGTCAGGAGAAGTATCATGGAAATAGCCTGGCGCCCAATCATGCAAATGGCAATGAGTTCAATCGCATTACCGCACTGTCAGCTGAGAGGACTGAGATGTCAAGGCGAGCAAGCAAGACTGGCTAATAATAAGAAGAGCCAGGGGATTCTACATTGTAGGCTGAGTAAGTGACTGGATATTGGGTGATACGTGTAGATCTACTGTCTGATCTGAGTGAGTGATCATACAGACAGTCCATGTGGTCCTGAAATGTAGCGCCGTGCATCTGCATGATGACGTTAGCATACTGAATATGGCATTGAGCATGCATGTTTATTGTTTAACATTACAATACGCCCGGTAAACCACTAGGGCCGCTTACTAGTACGCACCCTATCGCGTATCGTACTGCTCTCGGCTTTGAGAAAGACGCTGTCCCTGATTGTGCTGAAGAGGATACAGCCAGCGGTTGATCAGTACCTGGCTACATCCCAAAGTGCTTTTCGCCGTGGCCGCAGCACAAGTGATGTGGTGTGGTGCCATACATGTAGATATAATTATGGCTATGCAGTATGACGCAGCGATTCAATGCGTCCATCCACATATTGGGAATTGACATAAGTAAAGCATTCGACACTGTCCGCCGCGATGTCCTGATGAAGATCCTTGAATCCTTCCTCCAAGAAAGTGAGCTCCGAATGATCCGTATACTGTTGACTGAAACCTGGCTTGAACCTCGTGTGAAAGGTGCATCGAAAAGCTCCTTCAAGACAAATATCGGAGTCCCTCAAGGGGACAGTCTCTCTCCAGTGCTTTTCACCATTTACCTGGAGGCTGCTCTCCGGGACCTACGACAGGAGCTGCCATCTCGCCCTGCTGTGGACAATGACCTGCCGCTGGATATCGCGGATGATGTTGATTTTGTGAGCCGGGATGAGACGTTTCTCAGTGAAGTTGAACAACACGCTCCAACAGTTCTTGCGAGATGGAACCTGAACGTTAATCCCTCCAAGACAGAGCATACCACCGTCGCCCGATTTCCGGATAGGAACCAAGAAACGTGGCGTACTGTCCGCAAACTAGGCTCCCAGGACCCTCCTGGGTGACGCCGAAGATGCTGCTCGGAGGCGTCACCTGGCCGCCGCCGCCTTCAACTCACTCCTCAAGATCTGGACCCGGAGGCGCCAGATCAGTGAAGGTCTTCGGCTGAGGCTCTACAACGCCTACGTCATCCCAGTCCTTACCTACAACTGCGGCACTTGTGGTCTACCGATGTCGGAGCTCGCGCGAATGGATTCGTTCCACAGGACCCAGCTAAGGAGCATCATTGACATGCGATACCCTAAACGAATTAGCAATGACACTCTGTATAAGCGCTGCGGAGCTGTCCCCATCAGCGAGATGATCACAAGGCAGCGCTACAGTCTCGCTGGCCATATCTTTCGTTTGGCCCCAACTGCTCCTCCACAGTTGGCAGTGGATATGTATCTTCGCTTGGCAAACGACGAGGGCACTGAACGCTTCAGGGGTCGACCTCGGACGACTTTGGTAACGGTCTTGCAGACGGAACTGTCATCATGGCATGGACTTACCCTCCACCAGCCGCTAGATGCTGACGCAGTCCGCACAATGGCAGCGGACCGACAGGCATGGCGTGGAGCCCGCCCCACCTAACAGGACTGATTCTCGTGACACACGTGATTCCGCCAGACATGTTGTATGCATTCTATTTTATTTTATACTTTGGATGAAGTTTTCCATTTGTCCTATTGGTATTGTTGCTAACGGCTTTTGTTGACGTCACTTCTGTCATTTCATTGTATCGTATTACCAAGAGTACATAACCCCCGGGGGGTTATGTACTCTTCAGACATCAATCCTGAATGGCATAAGCGAAAGTGGCCCCCCGCCGCCTAGCGCCTACGCGGACATGCTTATAATAATAATAATTATTACAATAACTTATGTAGCGTGATGTCATCATGTCACCATCAGGGTTCATACAGACTGGATATTGGTTACAGTAGTAGTAAAATTTCTCAGTGACCACTAGTATACCCAGCCATACCTTGTAATCACTATTACCAAGAGTACATAAACTCTTGCTATTACCAATAACGGCGCAATGCGTTTACACCACATATCAATACCCAGATGCTAGCTTTGAGGGCAGGCTGCCAAAAAAACCCCAGAGGTGTACCATTAGAAAGATCGTTGCATCACCAAGAGAGAAAATATGGTGGACCGAATGATTGAAATTGCAGCTATTTACTGATCAAAATCAAGTCGTTGAGCTCAAATCATAGAACTTGCACACACATGTACATACTTACACGCGTGGAGAAACAGTCGCACAGGATAGGACAAGACATACACCTGTACACAAGCCATGGGAGCTGCATCAATACAGGGGACAACGAAAGTCGCCACAGGCCTAAGCTGTTAAAAAAAATAGTCGCATTTCGACACAAAGAGACAGCTAATCAGCAGCAGAATAACACGAATAAACACGGCCAGTAAGGAAAATAGCGCAAAAGCATACAACAGCATATAGACATCGCACTGGCATCAGGCAGATGAACAGGTACGATTGAACACAAACACAAAAAAAAGCATGACACGAGTGATAGGCCGGCCAGCAGGCAGAAACGTGCTTTGAACAGCAATTGCAAAGTGCTCCCTCTCTCTACGGTATTGGAAATAAATAGATACAGGTGACGCGCATGTACACACACACACACACACCACACACACGCACGCACGCACGTACACACATAAATACATGGCAGCAGGCTAAAGAACACAATCAGCAGGACAGGCATTCCGATATACAAGCCACCGAAGTACAAACAAACAAACAAAACGAGCACACCAAGGGTGCTATCGGACCAAGAAGTACGTGACAAAGAAGACGAACAGGACAAACGCTATCATGTAACACATCCAGTTGTTGTGTCCAGCTTTCGACATCAGACCCAGCCGCTTCATTGTGGAACCCAGCAGACCGCCGGCATTGTCGAACTCAGAACCCTGTGCAAACAGATCAGAAGGACAATAGAACGTCAGTAAGCAGTGCATACGCCCTGCCACAGCGTAAGATTCAATAGAGGATTCACACACACACACACACACACACACACACACACACACACACACACACACACACACACCCTGTACCACACACACACACACACACACACACACACACACACGGGAAAACCTGAGGTCACGTGACAAAGGTAAAAGTTCAGACCGTCGGACAAGTGAGTGTGGCTGTTCATCCCAGTGGTCAGTTTTCCCTTGGCCACATGATTGGTCATGAATTGGTGACGAGGAAGTACAAAATCGAATCCGTACTGCATTTTTTGTAGTATATTCTGTACAATGTTTGTTTCGCATTCGCAATGCGCGATTGCATGCAAGGTCAACGCGCGATTGCATGCAAGGTCAACGCGCTAGTAGCGAGATTAAGATGAGGACAATTATATCCGAAACAATTTCAGAAACACTTTTTCAGTCACGTCAGTCGTCTAGTTCAGATACTGCATGACATAACTATGTGCCTGTCTAGGTGGGCTCGGTGAAATCCGACCCAGAGTGCATATTGGGCACAGTCAACTTGCACGGCCCTTGACGCCCTGGAAGTGGCACGGATATCCGGATGCGGCTGGACGTACACACGTACAAATATAATGAAGTAATCATAACTGGTCCTGGGCGCCAGCTTTGCACTTTTGGTCGGATTTCACAGAGCGGAACTGTAGTAGATCATAATATGAGCACGAGGAAACTAAATTTTCAATTTTCCTTTGGTTTGATGTTCGGTTTGGTGCTTGTTGACCATGCCACTTTCACTGTTGCTGTTGTTGCTATTTCGGGTGGTCGCTGGGAGAGGAAAGTTCTTGGACTTTGGAGAGAGAGAAAGGCGTCGATTTTCCTGATTACGAGGACAGGAAACGGCGAAAGACCAACAGAGTTGACAAGAGCACTTTCGGACAGCTGTACGCGTTGATTGGTGCTGGTCGGGAGAAAGCTGACACTCGCATGAGAGCGTCTATACCTGGCAGAAAACGAATGGCTGTGTTCCAGCATTGGATGGCACGTGGCACGTCTTTGGACCAGCTTGCAGAGGACTATTGTTTGGGCACATCCACCGTACATAGTATTCTCCATGAGTGTTGGGAATCCGCCACAGCTGTAGAGCAGCATGTCACACTGTGTTTCCTGAATGAGAGGAGCTGCTTCAGGTGACAGCAGATTTCTTAAAGTCGTTGTCATCTGCCAGGATGCGGAAGTGCACAGGACGGCACCTTCATGAAAATTCAAAAGCCTATTCGCTTGGGAGACGCATATTATTGTTACAAACATTACCCTGCAATCGTGCTTCTTCTCTGCGTTGATGCACGTGGCGCAATCACACACATCAAAGCAGGACGGGCAGGCAAAGTGGGCGATGCCTTCACGTGGAATACGCCACTACCATGGCAACACATTGAAGATGGTCGTCTTCTACTTGCAACATAGTCTGTAGACGCGGGAAACCAGCGCATAAGGCCCTACATTGCCGCTGACTCCGCACTTGCTCTATCTACACCTATTATGAAGTGCTATGATGAGAATAGTGGCCTGACAAAAGCACAGTCCGATTTCAACTACTGTGCCATACGCACCAGAAGAGCGGTTGAAAACGCCATCGGCCGACTGAAGGGACGGTGGCAGATATTGACTGGCAACTCCATCCGCGATCCTGTGCTGGCCAGGAGAGTTGCTCGGGTTGCTGAAGCTCTTCACAAAAGTTTGGAGAGATGCCAATGCCCTGTTGAAGAAACTTGGATACCACCTCTGCCCGATCATAATGCCGATGTTCAGCAACATGGCAACCATGGCCTGGGTGCCAAAGCGGAGGTTGTGTAAACGAAACTTTCAACACAAATCAGCCAGTTTCTTTGATTTTTACTGGGCACGTCTATGTACATGCTGGAATTGTCCAACAGCTTGGATAGCTGATGAGACATATTGGCGCCTTTGAGGATACTGTAATTTCACAAATTGTCGTGTGTACTTATATTTTCGGTACTTTCGGTGCGCCTGTGTCATACCTAAATGTCGATACACCGAACAAACATTAACACCCGCAATCCAATACTGTAAGGGGCCGTCCGTAAATATCGATGTTTTTTTAGAGACGATATTGGTGCTTCTCTCCCTTAACCCCCCCCCCCCCCTCCCCCCAGAAGACGCACATGTACATCTAGATCATGGAATCAATATTTTTGGATGCTCATTTCGAACAACATCTGCACGGACTGCGCCATCACCATAACGTTCCACGAACGCATCAATGAACTCTTCGTATGAAGAGGGATTCGACTTTTTGTAAATTCCTGTATCGACTACACAACCCCCAAACAACGTCAACTGTTTCGTTTTCCGTTTCTTGGGCGGTGGTGAAGACGACATTTTCACAGCTAACCTGTCACTTTGCCATGGCCATGCGGTTCACAACTTCCTCAACTTCTCTCTCGACAAAGAACAAACTTCAGGCACGGCCAGTCAAAATTCGCATTTTACATGAAAAGATGAGGGCGCTGGCGCGCTAGCGCTACCCGTGCAGTACAACTCATCGTACAAAAAGCGTTCAAAGTGCAACTCATCGTGTACTGGTGTAGCCAAAGCGGCTACGCTCGGGCTTGAATTTTTTCAAATCCTTGTTCAGACAGTGAAGACTGGAAACTCTTGTGGAGTTCGTCCAGGTTTGTTCGCACTGCCTCTACGTCTTGAAAAAGGTCTCCTGCAGGCATCGTTCGGCCGATTTCCACAATCAATAGCTCATTCTTTTGCTCTTGAAATTCGCCATGGGCGTACAGTTTCCAATTTTTGATTTTATTCTTGTGTCGCGAGTTTTAGCTCCGCGAACGGAAGCTGGTTTCACATTTCTTGTATAGCCATTTAGACGTCCGCGTGCAGGGATCGGCGAAACTTCAGATATTTACATCGATATTTTTCTGATGCTCGAAAAGACGCACATGGCTCAACCCCCCCCCCCCCCCCCCAGACGCACCAATATCGTCTCTAAAAAAACATCGATATTTACGGACGGCCCCTAAGTCAACAAATATTCGACGCATATTTATTTTCGGCAATTTGCGGCCTGGTCATATTAATTTTGGCAGAAAATTTGTTGCAGCCGACAATTTTGTTTTGCAAGGTTCAGCGTGACAGTGCATACAGGCAGTACTGGTTGAAAATCTGTTGCAGTCGAGATGTGTTTTAGCCCTGGGAGGCCGAAATTTGAATGAGCCGAAAATTTGTCGACTTACAGTAGGGAACTGCTTCTCTGTACCTAAATTTTCTGTTCACCTAACCTGGCCTTTAACCCTCATACCGAACATATTGAGGAGATCAACGGTACTTTACGGTACTAGGAGAATAAAAAAGCAAAGTAAAGTTCACAGTCTGAAGTCTGAAGAAAATGTTGAACGGCCTCTGCTGGGATGACGACTACACCATAGCTCAGTGGTTAGAGCATCGCTGGCTACAAGCGAGGGTCCCTGGTTCGAGTCCTGGTGGTGACAGTCAATTTTTTCTTCAGACTTTTCCCGTTTGTCTCTTTCCCTCAAACCAGTTAATAAAGTTCATACGCTCGCCTTAAAACCGGCTATACAATTGTGTTGAAGAACACAACCAGCTTAGGAAATTTCGCTTGTGTCAGGCCACCACCATGTCTGGTATACCAGGGTGGCAGATGCAGCTCCCAGCGGCGAGGGTGAGCTGGTAAGTCTCACAAACCTCGTCAGCTGCATCCATGTTGCCCTCACTCCGAGTAGTGAGTGACCACTAGGAGAATGAAGAATAATAAAGGACCAAGGCATTACGTGTGCAATGTGAATTGTGTGCAGTGAAGTGTAAATACATACCATGCCCAGCAGTTCCGCATTTTGCTCTCGTACTTCTCGCCCAATGTCAAGTGAAACCTATTACGCACACACACGCATACACAAATAAGTGTGCGTGGCGAGACAGGGGAAGGGGAGGGAGAGAGAGAGGGGGGGGGGGAGAGAGAGAGAGAGAGAGAGAGAGAGAGAGAGAGAGAGAGAGAGAGAGAGAGAGAGAGAGAGAAGAGAGAGACAGAGAGAGAGAGCCAGGAGAGAGAGAGAGAGAGAGAGAGAGAGAGCCAGAGAGAGAGAGAGAGAGAGAGAGAGAGAGAGAGAGAGAGAGAGAGAGAGAGAGAGAGAGAGAGAGAGAGAGAGAGAGAGAGAGAGAGAGAGAGAGAGAGAGAGAGAGAGAGAGAGAGAGAGAGAGAGAGAGAGCAAAAGGAGAGCAGGGGGGGGGGGGGGGGGGGGGGGTGCACATGCACATAAACGTACGCACACCGCTAACATGTGTATTGATGCCCGAATGGAAACTAAACAATAGTTGATGATTGTTGTTTACTAGCATGGATTTGAATATACCATTGCTGGTAATTTCTGCATCAGAACAGGCTATTAACTTAATTGCTCTCTTGTCATAAATCTATTGGCTCGAAAATCATGAATCAAACCAAGATGATTTTTTCCTTTGATCTGATGCCAAGCAACATCACAATGGATAGGCAGTTACACGCACCCACTAACTGACGTGCTACATTCAAGGCACCAACACACATGCACGCGCGCTTGCCCTATAGTCTGCTTCAGTCTGAACACGAATATGGACACGCACACACACACAAAGGAATGTTTCCCAATATTCCAGCACGCAAATACTACAACACTACTTACCGACTTCAACTGGGCCACTTTAGCCGTCATCGATTCAACGATACGGTCATTCTCGTTGGCAAACATCTCTTCTGTTCGCGTTGTTCCATGGCTGCGGCCGCGTGATTGCATGGTGCAACCTCTAAGGAACGATGAGTGAGATTCGGTCTTCGCAAGAATTCAGTGTTGAAAATAGCACAAAGCACTGACCCCAGTTCTAACTACGATCACGGTGTTCCTGACTCTCAGCACCAGAAAATTCTAAAGGAATGTGATGAAGAAGACACTGAACACAGATATTATGACTTTGAATATGAAGGTAGAAGTTTGGTATCAAACCTGCTCGATCAATTATTTCCAGGAGTGTGGTACTGTAGTTCTTTTTTGTCTCCAGCTCTCCTGTCTGATCTCAGTCAGTCTTTTTGTGTTTTGAAGTTTTTGTTCCTGCCTCGTGACGGGACGCGTCGACGGGATCATCCCGATATGCATGTCGGTATGCCACGTCATACAGATGACGTAATTCACGCCCAACCCGGGTACATACAGATTACGTCATTCACGCCTAACCCGGGTACATACCCGGGATACCGAGCACCATGCATGTCCGGTCGAATGAATGGCCGGGGTGTCACCCGCCCATATCCTTCCGGAATAGATGACTTGCACAAAGATCCGAGCCGCGAGTGAGACGGGGCAAGTGCACCCTGTGCACCCAGGCTACACTGCGGGGACCCTCACCGTCTGTGTACAGTGTACTTTTTTTGTCAGCGTGAATGAACGGTGCACGGCATGTACATGCCAGTACATGATCACTACCGTCACTGTCTTCAGCAGCTCATGAGTCATGCATGTGTACTTGTAGGGTTAGTGGAAGTACATGAGTGTATAATACTTAAATTATTATGTGAAGAGAAACCAGGCGTCCAAACCAACCCAAAATACTCTTGCCTTATTCTTCGGTGAAAAAGTTATAAAAAAAATTGTCCTACCAAACAACAGTGAGCATAGAAGCAACCTCGATGCACCCAATAATATGGCATCCGGCAGTGAGCATAGAAGCAACCTCGATGCACCCAATAATATGGCATCCGGGAGCAGCAAGTGTTGCACGAGGATCCCAAGAACACGTCAAGTTCCATGCTACCCGCCGCCATCAAAAGAACGAAGGATAACTGTGCTAGCCTAGTTCATATTCAATGTAACGCTAACGGTACGGGATATAGGAGCCTGTTGGGAAGGCGTGGGTGAGCTGTAAGATCTTGTACGGTTCGCACAGCACAACATACATGCAGCAGTTATTGCGACGGTTAACACCGATGGACGAGAGTCATGAAGCACAGTCCATGGGGTTGACGTTTCTGGGCTTCCTTTCCGAAAGGAAAGTTTTATTTCTTCTCAAATAAAGCAGAATCATGCTGATTATACCAGTCTGTTGTGAAGACAAGAAAGCAGCCATGGACATTGTGCCATTCTAAAGGAACGACAGGTAACGTTAAAAGATAAAGCACTTCATCTGAAAACTCAAGGACTATTCATAAATACAGCAAATGATAATCCTAGCCTGGTATTGTCCAACTCCGTCATTTGAGCTATTCGGTGAGTTATCATGGGAAGCATAATATTCGAAATGCTGAACAGTTGCAGTTGTGTTCGTCGCCACACAACGCCATCGCCAGTTCACATTCGAAATGTAGCCATTTTTACGCTTGTGTCCCTATACACGGCATGGAAGGTTGAACAGATTCAACTCTTCCATCGCTTCTTGATCTGTACGGTAGTGCGGTTGCGTTCCCGTTCCTGACACACACACATCCGTCTCCGCTAACCAGCATCATGAGCACTCCAATGGTTCCCGCCGCTCCTTCCGTATCGTCCCAGCGCGCCCCGTCAAAATGTGAACTACTGTAGGCAACGGAGCCAGTGTATGATGAAGGTGAATGCACTGTTTGATGATGCTCCAACAAATCCTTTCACTGTTGTATGGAATTTGTAAGAAGAGTAGTGGCTCAACTGTAGGTCCAACGCAGAAGGTACCTCGCAGCGCAGTTCTGTTACGTCCACGTCCACGATAATGAACACACTCAGCAGACTGTGATGTGTATCAGACACACTCTGGCATTATTTTGTTCCACCTTCTCCCAGGAGGAGATAAAATGTAGTTCAATCATGTCTTCAGTACATGGGGTACCGTTGCCTCGTTGCAACTAAACAGGTACGCAGTTACTTTCCCATGAGACCCAGTCGGAGCCGCATCGTCGTCATTACCAGCTAATCATGGAGAGGTATAGTGTGACATTCCACCACTCCCTGATTCAATCATAGTTTGCGAGCCAGCGCCAAACTGCTTTCTCACTAGAGCCAGGCATTGGTCATATGGCTTCAGTAAGGTTTACAATGCTACGTCTCAGGCCTAAGTCCAAGTCTAGATACAGCTGCTCAGAGTCAGGGCTGATGAAAATGTTCATATCGGAACAAGTGAGACTTCAACAGTAGCTAGTACACATCAGGCCTGAGTACTTCGCAGCGTTTCTCCAGCACACTTGTTCTCTCCTTCAACTCAGATACTACTTGAAGTACTACTAAAGGCCATCTGGCTCTCACATTCAGTCCTTTCACCCTTCATTTTCGTGGTTTGGGCTTCCACTCGTGACTCGGCAGGTTCCTGGCCTCTCCGCAGTCTGTCCTCAGGAGAGGGTCGCTCTGGAGCTAGTGCAGCTGAATCAAAGGGAATCGAGTTCTTTCTCAGACCGTCCACAAACTTTCGTTGTGCTCGACTTCGCTTCCAGTGCGGGAAAGTAGTCACACTTCAGGACCACGACGTGCTTGTTGCAGCCTACACCAATGATACTAAAATAAGATTCCCTCATTTTTCTGCCTCCCGGCCGGCCGGCTCAACAAAGAACGTATGGAATGGGAGCCTCAGTTCCATCTCTCGTCTGCTAGTGCATTCAGGAGCGCAGCAGCGCTTCGGCATGACGATAAAAGCCGAATCAAAACAACTCTACTTTCTAGCCAAAAAAACTAGCTCAGTGTTCGTCAGGCAAAAAGCGAAAGTCACGAACTCAAAAGGTGGGGAAGTCAGAGTCAGAAGGTCCACTTGCCCCGTCTCGAACCCAGACAATCTTTGTGCAAGTCATCTATTCCCTGGGTGCATTGATGCCATTGTTGCTCTGCTCAATGAAAACGATGTAGACTCTACCGGTATTAATTTTGACGACTCGTAGATCTACATGTACCTACATGGTGTGGCACTGTAGCTGTGGGCTACCACTACAACAAGCCTACCACTAGTACCAGCAGGACTACAGAGTACAGTACTGACATACCGTATTTCCCCGTAAGTTTAAATAATAGTACGTACTAACTTTCGAACTTAGCAGCCACATGAGTACTAACTTTCGGGGGTGGTACTATCTTTCGGGGAGTACTTTTTTTATCGGGGGTAAATGACACGCAGTGGGAAGCCTGCGCAACTCTAGTGTCCGTGCATATGATGTATGTACTGTACGGTGTATGTACATGTAGGACGTAGATCTACGGGTACGAACTTACTATCTTTCGGGGGGGGGGGGGGGGGGGGGACTGTCTTTCGGGATGATAACCTCGGCAGTGGAAAGTGTAATTTTTATAGGGGGGGGGGGGGGTACTAAGTCATTGGGGAGAACTAACTTACGGGGAAATACGGTACTCCGTGGCTACGAGTACCGGTATGCAGTAACAGTACTGTACACGACCACCAGGGACAACAGGGGTTTGTAAACTACCGTTGTATTATGCGACTCTTTGGTCTTCAACGTAGAACCCGGTGACCAGTACATCAGCGACAGTTAGACCCGAGGCTATTTTTAATATACACACGTTGGTGCAACCACTTACCAGATCACATCTTTCCTCGAGCAACGACTAGCAGATAATTATATTGCTTGAGATCCAGATGTGTTGCTGGCCCCTACAGGCTGTCGGCTTCGACAAAGGTACACACACGCATACACACGCACACATTCGGGCTAGCAAACCACACACACATGCGCGCGCATGCACACACACACACACACACACACACACACACACACACACACACACACACACACACACACACAGCGGGAAAGCACACTCTTTGTTTTGCTTCGAGTGATACATGTATATACTGGTGATACTTGAAGCATATGTCCTCCCTAATGACAGGGACAGGAGAAAGAATATACTGACCAGCATAAAGATTATACAGATAAGCTGGACACTAAGAAGTTGCACAACCAACTCACACCTAAGTTGCTATTCTAGTGACACACGGCGCACAAGGCGTCTGGAACGGTTAGAACGAGGACGGAAAAAAAGGAAAAGGGGAAAAAAAGCACTGGGGCAAGCCTGAACAGAATAGTGCGCGCAGGCACTCATACATGGAAAAGGCGCCCTCAAAGCCGGTTAGAGCCGAGCCGCAGCCCGCGTGCGCAAGTCAAGGTGCAGGGAAACGAGCAGGGGTGAGTGCGTGCCTGCATGTACTGAGGCTATACAAAAGAAGAAAGAGAAGAAGAAGAAGAAAAAAAACTGCCATAAGGCGCAGCACAGCTTTCTACACGGGGGCTGATGAGATACACCCTACACCCACTAGACTCCTATGTACAGATGTGATCCTATGATGACACAAGAGGATAGCCAGGACGGCTGCAGAATATCTATAATAAATAATACACTTAGTGTGGGTATGGGGAGAATGACATTGTACACAGGTCAAAGCACTGTCAGGTTTGAATGCGGCTTTCGAGGGGAGTATTTTGATGAGAAACATAGGTAGACGCATGCGGAGTGCACGATAGGGAAGACATGACTGCAGCAGGATTCGTGAAGCAAGCGCGCAGGTGCAAAGCGTAAAAAATGTTTTAGTGATGAAGAAAAGAAGAAAGGAGAAAACAGCGTTCGTTGACGTGCTTTTCCCATTTTGCGTGCATAAAAGTCGTGTGTTGCATGGTGTGGGGGTTCAGCTTTGGTGATGGACGTAAAAATAAGTACTTGATGTATGGCATGCATGCTGGCCAGTGCTGCGAGACTGTGAACCACTTTAACTGGGCTTGCTCGGCAAGAAGCCGTTCTTCCGGTGCTGAGAAGGCAACTTGGTTGGCGGCTTGGCGTCTTTCAGTGTTACATAGAAGGAAATGGCGCTCACTTCCTCCGTTTTGATGGCGTAGAAGACGTTGACGTCGGACCGAATTGGCATGAACTCTAAGAAAAGATAGATGTGTGCAGAGAAACAGAGACAGCCTAATTGTAGCCTCATACAGGATAAGCTTTTTTGCACAGATTTCGAGGGGAATACGAGTCATTATACGACGCATATCGATGACGCAGTGTACATCACTTTCCACGCAAGCTGTGATGGGACTTCAGGCATTTCAGCACTTGCAAAGATGGTGGGGTAAGAGAGGGGTTAAAGCGTGTCCAATGCAAGCAGGAACGCCGCCGCAGAGCTACATGTACCCAATCACTCACCACTTTCATTCAAACCAGAATAGTACGTGCCATAGGTACCCGTATTGCTCCTTTCCTTGTGTAATCGGACCAAGAGATAAGATATTGTTAATAGAAAAAATTCAGGCTTTCCTTGTTAAATAAGTGCGCACTGTGCTCAAAAGCTGGAGGCTACCTCCCGTTGCAATTCTTTTTCCTAACCAAACAAAACCTACGAAACATACGACACACGCGCAACAAGGACGCTAGCAGCAGCCATGGGGACAAAGAATATCGAGCACCTTACTTGTTTCAGTTAGCACTTGGTACAACTGGAGGTCGGCAACAGATGCTTGCACAGACTGCTTGTCCAGGATTTTCTCCATGAGCTGGCGAGCTTTCATGCCACTTGTCAGCTAGTGTGCAAACACAGAGAAAGGAGCGGGTGAAGCAAGAACAACTCCATTATTCACAATCGGCACAGCATTCGAGAATACATTTCAGTAGCCTTCTCAAGCTCCACTCCTGAGGGGTGCGCACCCCGAAACATAGTGCATTGAGCAGGGAGTGATGCTTTCTTGCAGGTATGCCAAGTAGAAGTTCCATGGATTTCTCCTGTGTTCTGGACGGCAGTTGTGAGTCAGCCAAGAATCAACCCGAATATTTTCGGAAATTGAACAACCTGAATAAACCTAAATAAACGAATACTTTGGATACCTAGCCGAGCGAATAGTCTAAAGAGTACACACAAGTAGGCAGGCACTGTAGCTGCGGTTGTGCTCGATGCACACCGTGCAGAGACTCTCTCAGCGAGTGTACTGCAAAGGATATCTGATGCGTCCTTTGGTAGAGAGACTGGTAGAGAGAAGGGAAGGTTGACATCAACAATCTTACCAAGAGAGTTTGGTAGCTTGTCGTCACTTTCCCTATGCTTGTGTGCAAGGCCACACGCACAACATGGCTGTCGACGCCACCGATGTTGCTTGAAGTTGCGCCCACACTGACACTACTACCACCCGAATTGGGAGGGGTAATTTTCGACCTGCTCAAGTTCGACACTGACAACGAAGACTTGAGCTTGGCAAGGGGTCTCGATACATCTGATGTGGGCTGTGCATAGCAAGGCACAGGCAGAGAAGAAGCAAAAAAACAGCATTGGCCGATGCAAGTCACTGTCAGCGTGTACTGTAATTTCACAAATTTTCGGTGTACTTTTATTTTCGGTACTTTCGGTGCATCTCCTTCATACCTAAAATTTCAATACACAGAACAAACACTAACACACATAATCCAATAGGGAACAGCTTCCCTGTACCGAAAATTTCTGTTCACCTAACCTGGCCTTTTGCCCTCATACCGAAAATATTGAGCACCGAAAAATTTCTGAAATTAGAGTAAATTGTCAAATCGAAGCTTCAGCTAAGGAAACAAGCAGTCTACCACCAAGAGTACATAACCCCCAAGAGTGTGCAACTCCACTATGGGTGCTGTGCCGACAGACTTCCAAGTTGACGTCATTTGTATGATGTACTGCGCATTGTACACGTATAATGAGACATGTCCTGGACCTGTGGTGGACAAGTCCGGCTTGATCTTGTACAAGGAAACAGGTGTGATGCGTTTACAAACACTTTTTGGTCAGATCTCAGTGTACTTACATGTACATTATGCAGTATATGTTCTTGCCATCAGTCTTGCCCATCTCTCAATGCCCCTGCCCCCCCCCCCCCCCCCCCCATCTTACCCGATGCATGCATGCACGCACACACACACACACACACACACACACACACACACACACACACACACACACACACACACACATACACACACACACACACACACACACAAAATGCACAGTATAAGTAGATTCATTATCGGCACTTAAGACATACACTTTGCGTAAATATGCCTGTGCTGTGCAAATCCCGGGTACCCGCAGATGTACATCTGTGGAGAACAACAACAACGACGACGATAACGACAAAACCAACGAGAAGAAGAAGAACAACAACAACACATCGTGAGACAAAAGATTTGAAACAACAACAACAACAACAACAACAACAACAACAACAACAACAACAACAACAACAACAACAACAACAACAACTCTTATTGGCCACAGGCCATCGTGAGAATAAAAGAATTCAAACAACAACAACAACAACAACAACAACAACAACAACAACAACAACAACAACAACAACAACAACAACAACAACAACAACAACAATGGCAGCAGCAACAACAAACGCGCACACACAAACGCGCACACACAAACGCGCATGCACCCACACAAACGCGCATGCACACACACACACTTGTACTTGCTCACTGCCAAAACTGGTCATGTGAGTCTCCCCGGTAGAGGGGAGAGAGACTCAAAAGGAATCTTGGAAAGATGACTCAATTGGCTATTGAACCGCCCAACGGCCGACACCCCCTGAAATCTCAGGTGAAGTAAAGTTGGCCTGGTGGTGGTTTGTTCTTAGCTCCTTTGTGTACGCTGTACCAGTGCTCATTTTTGGACCCAAAATTCAGTCGTATTTTGGGCCCATGTCGAAGTGGTCCCCAGTTGAAAGGTGTCCGTAAGTTATGCAACGAGCCCTTTCGCATGGTTTGTTGTAGAAAATCTGAGCGAAGCCGGAGAGATGGCCCAGCAGTGGACTTGAAAATGATCCCACTTATGGGCTCACCACACCTCAGTAAGTGGGTGAGGACAAGGTGCAGAAAAGGGATTGACGGCATCAGGGTATCCGTCCTGGGATCCAACTGCAGTTACCCCTGCCACCAGTGAAGGTACTACTTGCTACTAGTGTGGGTGGCTAAATCAGAGTGGATCTGACACACACACACACACGCGCGCACACACACACACACACACACACACACCATGTACCATGTACCATGTATACGCCCGTCGCAAGAGAAGCACGCAAATCTGCAAATGCACTGGATGTGCACCCACAGATTTTCTCTTTATAGCAACGATAGCGGATCTGATTCTGATTGAAACAGATCAAGACAAGCGCCAGATAACTGTCTAATCCACGCAACTGGCGAAGCCATGTGAATCGACCCCCCCCCCCCCCCCCCCCCCAATGCACACCTGGTCTACACCACACGGAGTACATCGGAATAGGACGGCCAAGACAGTTACCTATGCACACCCTACACTTGCTGGGGTAACCAGTACACACACACACACACACACACACACACACACACACACACACACACACACACACACGCCCACGCACACACACACACACACACACACACACACACACACACACACACACACCATGTACCATGTATACGCCCGTCGCAAGAGAAGCACGCAAATCTGCAAATGAACTGGATGTGCACCCACAGATTTTCTCTTATAGCAACGATAGCGAACAAGATCTGAATGAGACAGATCAAGACTTGCGCCAGGTAACTGTCTAATCCACACACAACACACACACACGCACCCATACAGATACACATAGCCACAGACGCAAAGATCTACTACAATAGAACCTCTCTAATTTCGGGCACGTCAGGACCAAATGGTGCCTACATGTATCTCAGAATTGTCCAGAACTCGCAAATACTTGTGCACTGCAACCATAATGGATATGACACATGATTCCCTTCCATAGCCCTCAATGCTCCTAAAGCGGTGAGAAGTAAAGTTCAAATTGCATACTGTACAACCGGAAAGTTTAACGACCAAAAAGTGAAACGTTTTGGTAATTTTGGCATGATAACGTGCAGAAAGTTTAACGATGGCTACCTGGCCACCCATTTGTATGCGCAGTTTTACACAGACATCTCAAGCCGGGTTTGCGATAACGTTTCTTCAAATAACGAAAAAATGGTCGTTAAAACGTTAGACTTTGGGACTCGTTAGATTTTCCAGTTTTACAATACACACTTATGGAGGGGAAAGGGGGGGGGGGGGGGATCAGGGCCAGAGCAAAAGCCATCAGCTTGATGAGGTGGTCGGAGATTGAGGTTTCACCGTATGTTAGATTACCTAAGCACACGAATGGTGGTAATGATGAGCAGTGTGCATGGCATACGTGTGATAACTCGCAGTTTCAGTCCGACACTTCAAACGCGAGTCTACAAGAGATGCATTCCGCACTTACCTTTTAAGAGTACGCTTCAAGCTGCCACTCCGACTGCCAGCTTCCTCACCATTCATTGAGTTAGAGCGGATTGGCTGGCCCTCCATTAACTTACTCTCCTCATAACTGAGAAGGGTGCGACAAAGATGCATGCACGCACGCACGCACACACACATACACACACACAAACGTGCGCAGAGAGAGGAGAGAGAGAGACACACACAAACACACACAGAGAAAGACAGACAGAGAGAGACAGAGACAGAGGTAGAGAGAGAGAGAGAGAGAGAGAGAGAGAGAGAGAGAGAGAGAGAGAGAGAGAGAGAGAGAGAGAGAGAGAGAGAGAGAGAGAGAGAGAGAGAGAGAGAGATTAGGCACAACAGAGCAGAGGCAAAGGGCAAACAGCAGAGGAACAGGGAAGGGGAACGGACCAAAATAATGCCAACACCGTGTAACAGAGTTGTTATCCAGCAGTCCCTACAGCACACTATATTCCTTCGCTTTGCTGGTATCTATTGGACCACCCGTCGGGTCAATTAGATTGTTATTATCATTGATCTGATGGTCGGATATTCATGAAATTTTGAGTTGTGAACACAACAGGTTCCCCTCTGCCACACACTAGAACACTGTTATCCGACAACGTGTGCATGTGGAAAGTGGTTCACGACCACCCATGCCCTGTCCTGCTCGCTGGGCGGCTACCCCTCTCTCCGCCACAACGAGATTCGGGACATCACGGCCCACCTTCTCCGGGAAGTTGCCCATGATGTTGCTGTCGAGCCCCATCTCCAGCCTCTCTCGGGGGAACACTTCCCTTTGAGATCTACCATCACCGACGACAACGCGCGCCTTGATGTCGCAGTCAGTGGATTGTATGGTGGACGGTTTGAGAGGACATTCCTTGATGTCCGGGTTTTCAACCCATTTGCCCCCTCAAACCAGAAGCCATCAATCCCGGCAGTATACCGCAAGCACGAAAAGGAAAAGAGAAGAAGCTATGAGAGAAGAGTCATTGAGGTAGAGCATGGATCATTCATCCCGGTCGTGCTCAGCACCACAGTTAGTCATGGCAAGGCAGCCGGCAATCTCTACGCTCGGATTGCATCCATGTTGGCCGATAAGAGGTCCGAGCCTTTCTCTATCGGCATGGCATACATCCGCACCCAGCTGTCTTTTGCACTGGTCAATGCCGCAGGCACAGCCCTGAGAGGCCATCGGCACAAAGCGTCAAGAATCAACGGCAGCCCTTCGATCACGTTAGCAGTGGCAGAATGCAGCATGTAATGGTCAGTTCTTGACTTTTAAAATTACGTAACTATATTCTTCTCATTATGTACAGCCCTTGTTTGTATTATCATCAATTTTATCAGTTCTAAGAGTACTCCACTCTCATTTTAGTACCTCGAACCCCGTACTGAGTTTGATACGGATTCTGGTATCTTGGCCGTACTACGCATACTGCTTCCAGCGGTAAGTTTGCATTTTATTGATTGCCTACTACTGTAGTGTACTGTACATCTTGTAGTATTAGTGGGAGAGATCTGTTTTTTGCACGCTTGAAAAAAAACCCACTGTTACAGTGGAGATCGGATATAACGACCTTGCATATAACGACAGATTGAGTTTAGCAACACAATTCTGTTGCCCAAGTCGTTTAGTAAGTCCTTTGTGAAGATCGGGTTTAGCGGCAGATCGAATATGGTGACATTTTGTTCTCTCCCGTAGGAGTGTCGTTATATCCAATCTCCACTGTATCCGTAAGGAGCCCATTGCACATTGCCAAAATATAGAAAGCACGAGTCATGCATGTGAGTACGCTGAGATCATGATATCAGCAATGCACTGTTCAACGACCCACACAACCATAGATCAGCAATGTCACTGTTCAGCGCCCCACATAGCCAACCCCTGGTGGTTGTGTGGGTGCCGATGGCGGTACAAACCACTTGTACGTCATTGGGCAATGAGCTTGCTACAGGCTACACCACGCAAAGGGTGCCAGCCACACAAAACTGCTGTTGTCACGATAAGCTTAGGGTGGAAACACAGCCATATTCAAACAGAAGAGGGGAGAAACAGACCACACCAATACAGTCGCGGCCGAAGAAATCCAAACCGTGAGACGTTATCAGCGCCAAGGCTCATGCGGCCATCGAATGGGTTTTTTCTTCAGATCGTGCATGATGTACAGTAATTGAAATGGGAAGGCGGCGCTACTTTTGAGTCGCTGGTGAGATTTCTTTGGCCATGTCTGCATACTGTAAAACATGAAATTTTCGGTGCAACTTTAATTTCCGTGATTTCGGTAGAGAAACCAGGCACCTAAATTTAAATTACACCTAAAATGCACTAGAGTATGCACTGCACGTGAAGGGAACGCTGGTCACCTAATTCTACACTACACCTGAAACCTGGCAGGTCCCTGACACCGAAATTTTAATGCACCTAAAGTTACAAGTTTTACTGTATCTACTGTGTTTTCCAGAATATACGCCACACTTGATACTCTCGTAATCCACCCAAAAAAAGTCCGTGCGGCTTATATCACGCTGGTCAAATAAACCATGAAATATAGGGTAGATGTCCGTGTTTCGTGACAAAAAAATTCGGTGCGGCTTACACTCCGGAAAGTACGGTATGAAAAGAAGAGCAACGCCGGAAAGTGACACTCACCATTTTTGTTCGTCCATGACATCGGATGTTTTGATCCACTTCTTAACGAACGGATCTATCGTATCGCCAAAGCGATAGGCTTGGGCTTGCTTCTGGAACAGGCTGATCTGGGCTAGAATTTCAAATTCTTTCCGACGTTTGCCAAAATTGAGAAGCTTTATATCCTGAAGAACGAAACATCAAGGGAAAAGAGATGAGTGCGCCCGATACGAACCAACATCACTTCTAATGCTCTGCACAACCCTAACTACGGCAGACCTTGGTCAGAAAAAGCAAAACACCACTTGAAAAGAGGATAGGTAAACAGAGAGAGAGAGAGAGAGAGAGAGAGAGAGAGAGAGAGAGAGAGAGAGAGAGAGAGAGAGAGAGAGAGAGAGAAAGAGAGAGAGAGAGAAAGAGAGATAGAGATAGAGAGAGAGTAGCACAACACTGACCTTCAGCTCCTTGCGTTCTGAGATAACCGTGTCCCCATGTGCAGAATCCACCATTGTCAGGTCCGTGAGGAAGATACCCAAATACGGAACAACACCGCTGGATAGCACCTTCTTTGCCCTCTCCATGGGACCCTCAATATCGTGCGTGGGAGCATACGGGCTAGTTGGAGACTTGACTTGGCCAATCTTGTCTATTGAATTTTCACTGACTGATCGAGGCAAGGAGGAACTCTGTGGCAAGGATATAGTAGCCCGCTGAATTACACAGAAAGGACAAAGAAGAAGCAGTGGTGATTTCAGGGGAGGTGAACAGATGCAGGTTCTTCGGGATAGTAATAAAACGAGAGAGCTTGGAAGCTCAGGGCCCTACGCTATGCTTTTAATGTAAAAAGGCCAGAGATAAAAAGGAAAAGAAGGAGCAAACCAAAAGCGGATGAAGTGAGAGAAAGATAACAATCCGCAAAAAAATCTGCAAATACTTTTGCCTAACTCATATTCAAACTGATTGAAACGTTTTTGCAATACAATGATGTAGCCAATTAACGAAAAAAAACATTTCCATCAGTTCTAGTAACATGTACGATGAGCTAGGCAAAAAATGTCCTGATGTCTGTCCTGACGTTTTCTGTGACCGGCGCTGACTCTGCCGATCACGGGCGTTCTGGCCTCGACGGGATCTCTCTTCCAACGTTTCCTGTGACCGGCGCTAAATCGCCCGTTCACGCTTATTTTGGAGTCGACGAGATGTCTGTCCTGACGTTTCCTGTGACCGGCGCTGACTCTGCCGATTACGGGCGTTCTGGACTCGACGGTATCTCTCTTCCGACGTTTCCTGTGACCGGCGCTGAATCGCCCGTTCACGCTTATTTTGGAGTCGATTCTGCGTCTGTCCTGACGTTTCCTGGGACCGGCGCTGACTCTGCTGATCACGGGCATTCTGGAGTCGACAGGATCTCTCTACCGACGTTTCCTGTGACCGGCGCTGAATCGCCCGTTCACGCTTACTTTGGAGACGACGGGATCTCTCTTCCAAAGTATCTCTCTTCTAAAGTTTGTTTTTGCTGATTCGTCCTATCACCTATTCCGCAACTAGCGTCCATTCTAATTTTATTTCCTCCTCGTCTCCCTATTAATTTTCTTTCCAAATCTCCCTCTATATCAGGGAGTCGTATACATGTTGTTTGTTTGTTTGTATTCTTTATTTAGAGTGGGAAGTCCAAAACAGGCCCTAGCCTAATAACAATGGTCCCACTAGTGAGGGAATGCTGTATATCTGTGCATAAGCCTAGCGGATCAGTGAGTGTAACAGCAACTAGTAGGGAAAGAAAAAGAGAGAAGAAAAACAACTCAAAACAGAAGTTGCGACTTGCATAGGGAGAAAATAACGCAAAGAGCAGTGCATACAGTATTTGTAAAAACTAAAACGGCTTATTTATCTGGTAAGCAAAAAGGCAAGAGCCATTGACTTAAAGCGATTGCGTTTTCTTTCTTGCCTGACCGCAGCGGGGAGCTGGTTCCATAATACGACGAATATTGTGGCCAGCTGTTTGTGGCCAGCTGTTTGTGGCCAGCTGTTATGTATAATCCTGTAGAACCTTTGTAGTCACAGATACGGGACAGATATGGTAGCTCCAGGCGTGACACAAGCACACAAACAAACAAACACCAAATCACAGATATTTTTTTTATTGGACAGATACGGTAGCTCCAGGCGTGACACAAACACACACACAAACAAACAAACACCAAATCACAGATACGGGACAGATACGGGACAGATACGGTAGCTCCAGGCGTGACACAAACACACAAACACCAAACGAGAGAGCTTGGAAGCTCAGGGCCCTACGCTATGCTTTTAATGTAAAAAGGCCAGAGATAAAAAGGAAAAGAAGGAGCAAACCAAAAGCGGATGAAGTGAGAGAAAGATAACAATCCGCAAAAAAATCTGCAAATACTTTTGCCTAACTCATATTCAAACTGATTGAACTGAACAGGGAACTGAACGTTTTTGCAATACAATGATGTAGCCAATTAACGGAAAAAAACATTTCCATCAGTTCTAGTAACATGTACGATGAGCTAGGCAAAAAATGTCCTGATGTCTGTCCTGACGTTTTCTGTGACCGGCGCTGACTCTGCCGATCACGGGCGTTCTGGGGCGATGGGATCTCTCTTCCGACGTTTCCTGTGACCGGCGCTAAATCGCCCGTTCACGCTTATTTTGGAGACGACGAGATGTCTGTCCTGACGTTTCCTGTGACCGGCGCTGACTCTGCCGATTACGGGCGTTCTGGACTCGACGGTATCTCTCTTCCGACGTTTCCTGTGACCAGCGCTGAATCGCCCGTTCACGCTTATTTTGGAGTCGATTCTGCGTCTGTCCTGACGTTTCCTGGGACCGGCGCTGACTCTGCCGATCACGGGCGTTCTGGAGTCGACAGGATCTCTCTTCCGACGTTTCCTGTGACCGGCGCTGAATCGCCCTTTCACGCTTATTATTATTATTATTATTATTATTTGAAACTCGGATGTTGAGCCATAAATAAATGTAAAAGAGAAAAGGACATATGGATACGAGTTTAGAGTAACTCTCCATCACTGTAACATGATACTATATACAGTCAGAAAGTGCAATAACTAGGCACAAAACTGACAGAGTACTGAGACATTCGACGTCCTGACACCTAACTTTAACACATCTCCGTAGCGCTAACCGACAGCCTTCCAACTTGGAAGGTTCAAGGTTATGGAAAGACCAAAGAGGGGAAGGCAAGCGCAACGAAAACGAGCAAAAGCTACAGTCCCAACGGAACAAAGAATGTCGATTGTTACTGGACGATGACGAGACCAGTACGATATTTGACAAAGCGGTCTAACTACAATTCGAAGCAGCAAAGCAGCACACCACCCAACTTGGGTGGGTCATAAATATCAAAGATAAGTAAAGAAAGGGAAGCTTTGCGAAAACGAATTGTACAAGCCGAAAGCCAAACTCCTACAGTACTCCTCATGCATGACATTGTGATGGACTAGTTGACTACAAAACAAGTTGTTTCACACGACGTACGTTTCGCCGTATGGTTCGTGACGGCTCATCAGGTGTGCAATTTGAAACTCGGATGTTGAGCCATAAATAAATGTAAAAGAGAAAAGGACGTCAGGACGTCGAATGTCTCAGTACTCTGTCAGTTTTGTGCCTAGTTATTGCACTTTCTGACTGTATATAGTATCATGTTACAGTGATGGAGAGTTACTCTAAACTCGTATCCATATGTCCTTTTCTCTTTTACATTATTATTATTATTATTATTTTTTTTTCTTATTTTGTTAGGGATTTCCCAACAGGCAATGGAGACGACGGGATCTCTCTTCCAAAGTATCTCTCTTCTAAAGTCTGTTTTTGCTGATTCATCCTATCACCTATTCCGCAACTAGCGTCCATTCCAATTTTATTTCCTCCTCGTCTCCCTATTAATTTTCTTTCCAAATCTCCCTCTATATCAAGGAGTCGTATACATAATACGACGAATATTGTGGCCAGCTGTTTGTGGCCAGCTGTTTGTGGCCAGCTGTTATGTATAATCCTGTAGAACCTTTGTAGTCACAGATACGGGACAGATACGGTAGCTCCAGGCGTGACACAAGCACACAAAGAAACAAACACCAAATCACAGATATTTTATTAATTGGACAGATACGGTAGCTCCAGGCGTGACACAAACACACACACACAAACAAACAAACACCAAATCACAGATACAGGACAGATACCGGACAGATACGGTAGCTCCAGGCGTGACACAAACACACAAACACCAAATTAAAGCTGTGTGGACCCTGGCTAGCGCCAGACGTTACTGAAGTAACGTCTTCTGCATAGCTACGGGAATTGAAGCTGTGTGGACCCTGGCTAGCGCCAGACGTTACTGACGTAACGTCTTCTGCATAGCTACGGGAATAATACACATATTGTGTGTAGAACACCGCAGGCTCCCCAGTGAGCCAAACAAGACGTCGGACGTAGCACGCTTTTCAGAGAGCACAAAGAACCCCTCTACGCACGCTCTCTCTCTCTCTCTCTCTCTCTCTCTCTCTCTCTCTCCCCTAGCGGTAGATCTGTGAACTTGGATAGCGGCTATGCTCTATATGTTCATGATGTCTACTGGATTCGTTTGACAATTGAGCTTGTGCTACGTCTTATAGGTAAGACATGCGCATCCTACAAGCACTACACGCATGACTGGTAATCATCGCGAAGAAGATGGGAACGAGAAGCCAGGAAGACGGGGAAGAGAGACGACACACGAAGAAGCAGCAAGCAACAGAACTCAACGTATCGAGTGCACCACGCCTACTGCAGCATAGGCGCGAGCTATCCCTAATTAAGTGCGAACACTGACCACCTTCTTCATTGTCTGCCAAGAGTCATGCTGCCTGCTGGTACACTGGTCAAATGAAGCCTGCGACAGGATATAGACAAGAGATGGTGCTGACAGTATGGATATCGTTCATAGCAAATATCATGTACTTCTCATCAAGCACAGCGCACTCTAGCCTGCATCAGCAGCAACAGGAGCAGCAGCATCAACGCTACCACCGACACCACCATCCTCCCAATTGAATTTTCTCAGTGCCTGCTCAGTTTTCCTCAAGAATCAATCACTGTAAAAAAAGCACTGGTTGTGTGCAGGGCAAAAACAGACAATGCCTGCCTGAGACGATATCCGGCTTCACACACACACACACACACACACACACACACACACACACACACACACACACACACACACACACACACACACACACACACACACACACACACACACACACACACACACACACACACACACACACACACATACCTGTCTGGAGATCAGGAGTTGGCATTCGGTACACAATACCTTGAACCCACAATTAGACCATATCCAGAGCCAGGGTGCAAAAATAGGACTGGGACAGGAGGAGTGATGATTGACTCGCATGGGCTTGCAAGAGCAAGGCATGCGAAATAACGTAGGTCAAATGAGAACTAAAACTCGAAGAGAGTCCATAACACTCAAACGCAGTTGCTGGGAAACCAGGGATTGGTTTTCACTTGTGGCAACTGGACAATCTCATTGTCATACTTCATAGCTCTGATAAATTTGTTTGGCGATGAAGCTCATGTTTTAACCGTCTCCCATTGATAAAAAGAGCAGATCCTACATGCACTACAAGCATGACTGATGTTCATAGCGCAGAGGAGGGGAACGTGAAGCCAGGAAGACGGGGAAGAGACACGACACACGGAGCAGCAGCAAGCAAGCAAGCAACAACAGTCAGAGTAGCGTGGCTACTGCAGCAGCAGCAGAATCGGTGTGAGCCATCTCTAGCTAGATGCCAACACTGACCAACTTCTTAAGTGGCGTCCAAGAGTTATGCTGCCTGCCGGTCAGCGCGTTGGATAGTTCCTACGACAGGGTATAGACAAGAGACGGTGCTCAGATCGTGATTACTGTTCATAGCAGATATCCTAACCTCGTGAAACACAGTGCACCCGGGCCTTCACAAGCGAGGCTGTCACAGCAGCAGTAGCAAAAAAACTACCACGCACATGCACACTTGTACTTGTTGCTCACTGCCAAAACTGGTCACGTGGGTCTCCCCGGGAGAGGGGAGAGAGACTCAAAAGGAATCTTGGAAAGATGACTCAACTGGCTATTGAACCGCCCAACGGCCGACACCCCCTGAAATCCCCAAAACTCTGGGTGGACTTGAAAATGATCCCACTTATGGGCTCACCACACCTCAGTAAGTGGGTGAGGACAAGGTGCAGAAAAAGGATTGACGGCATCAGGGTATCCGTCCTGGGATCCAACTGCAGTTACCCCTGCCCCCAGTGAAGGTAATACTTGCTACTAGTGTGGGTGGCTAAATCAGAGTGGATCTGATCTAAGCATCACTAGCACCATTGATTACACCAAGAGTTAATCTAGCCAGAAGCAGTCCATGGTTAACAGGTATGTATACTTCAAATAGAAAGTATACGAACCCTGAAACCAACAAAGGTGGCAGATACAACAATACACCTTCAAGCAGCCGAGCCAGTTGGCAACAGACCCAACACAATCAGGCATAAGTGTACCCACCAACCGAACTAGCTGGCATACACACACATGCACATACAATGTACACACTCACCCACAATTTGACTAAGCAAAAAAGCAAGTGCATGTACCCAGAGATCCAGCGCCAACCAGGTGCCATCAGACCTCATGAGTGAACCCTGCACTATGTGCTCACCCAGCCCACAATATCAAACGAGGAATTTTCTATCTTTCCATTCGGCGTAATGTACTCTTGGTGTCAATGGCAGATCTGTAAACTTGCATATCCACTCTGCTGTATAGGTTGGTGATGTCTACTACATTTGTTTGACAATGGAGTTCGTGCTCATGGCTGTGCTACGTCTCACTGGTAAAACATGCACATCCTACAAGCACTACAAGCATGACTGATGATCATCGCAAAGAGGAGGGGAACAAGAAGCCAGGAAGACGGGGAAGAGCGAGACGACACACGGACAAGCAGCAAGCAACAACAGTGCTGGTAGCACGTGCACTACTGCAGCAGCATTGGTAATTAGGTACGTCCACTGACCATCTTCTTTAGTGCAAACCAAGTGTCGTTTCTCCTGCCGCTGGCCGTCTCATCATCGGAATATTGCTGCGACGGAATATAGACCAGAAGATGGTGCTCACGGCAGGGTTACTGCTCATAGCAGATATCAGAGCCTTCTCATGACACACATCACACTCTAGTCTTCACTAGCGAGGCTGTACCACCACCACCACCACCGCCGCCACCACCAGCAGCAGCAACAACACTACCTCCGACACCCCACACATGGTTAGCTTGGTGCCAGCTTCGTTCTCTTGAAGAATCAATCGATTAGCAATCTCTGTAAAAAGTAGTCACTGGTTGTGTCCAAGATAAACCACACAATGCCATCCTCATGCGATCACTGGCTCACACATACTCCACACACACACACATGCACGCGCACATACACACACACACACACACACACACACACACACACACACACACACACACACACACACACCTACCTTAGACGCACATCGCTGGAGGCGATGGTTACGGTGCTGCAGCAGAAGCTATAGCAATGTGTCCTCGAATTGCTCGCAAGGCTGATGAATTGGTCGGCACTATTCAGCCTAGTCTACACCACAAAGGCTTTGAAAAGCTGATATGGCCAGTTAATCCCATCTTTTCAGACTTCGTCCTTTTCTCCTTTTTCTTTCGTTGTCCCCGCACTCACACCACACCACGTACTCTGGCATGCACTGGCTGTTGGTGACCACCGAGGAGAATTGGAAAAAAGTCATGAAGCAGGAGGATGAGAATGAGAAGAAAGACGCGTGAGACCATAATCGTTGGGAATTGAACCTGCAACCTCTTCGATTGGAAATCAATTACATATACCCCTAAACACACATGCATGCATGCGCGTGCACACACACACACACACACACACACACACACACGCCCGCCCGCCCGCACACACACACACACACATGTGCAAGTGATTGCAACTTACATTCCCAAGGATGGGCGATTTAATCCTGTTTTTGAGCGACGCCTTCTTCGAACAACTCAGGCTAAGATCTTTATCGAGGGACATTCTATCTTGTCCCTGGTGAAAAACAAGTATGAAGACACAGGACACGAGTTGCGAAGAGAAATATCAAAAGTGTCAGACGTTCACCCCGCCGTCACGAAAATTTCCAAAGCAGCAGCTGGGAGGGTACATGTATGTGGATGTAAGCATGTAAACCGGCCCCCGGTGCTTGCGTTCCAATTGAATATGCCTGCTACCTTCCGGAGGGCTAGTGAAACCAGTGTCTTTTGTGACAAAGTGACTCACCGAATGCCATGAGCAGAAAAAGAACAGTGTAGTCAGTGCTACCAAGAGTCCACAATCCCCCAGAGTGCGCAACTGGGATGGGGTTGTGGCACGGCGTGGTCCATGATGTACGTCATTTTTTGGGTCGGACTTGCCTCATGTCATCGACGCGGGCACGCGGTGCACCACGTCCACACTTCCCCTACTCGTGATGTCATTATTATGACGTGCAGCACGGATTTCGCCGTCCCAGATCTGATAAGCGAAGTTGCACACTCTGGGGGGGGGGGGGGGGTTGTGTACTCTTGGTGCTATGTACTGCGCTGGGATGGCACAGGATGCAACTCATTACCCTTCACAGAATGAGTACTGAATCCAGAGAACGTCACAGAGTCATTCGTACACTTCAAACTGGCGACCGTCTGCATCAAATACACTGGGTGTACTCCTACCAGTATATTCGGCAGAGCAATGACATAAGCACCCTAAGCGCTACGCCCCAAGCAACCACCCACCTACCTACTTACCTACCAATCTACCAGCCCACCCACCCATTTGATTGCATGCACATCAACATATATACACACACATGCACATGCACTTGTACTTGTTGCTCACTGCCAAAACTGGTCACGTGGGTCTCCCCGGGAGAGGGGAGAGAGACTCAAACACACACAGGCACGCACGCACACATCACTCACACTTAACGTTGGCTTCCTTTTCCCAGATTTCTCCTTGGAAGAATCTTCATTGTTGTGAAACAACGCTCTATTCCCATCAGGCGGCGGCTTCAAAGAGAATAAAGATCAGCACAAGAGACAAAGGCACCGACACTTACGCCAGGACTGTGACGAAAACAAGAGAGGGGCATGCCTTGTGGATTTTCGGTTGCGTGTTTGAATGTCGGGATTTGTGCACGACTTAATAAGGCGGTAGCCTTGCTCCACTAGCTAGCAAAAAGACTACGCATTGAAATAGGGACAATGTTCAGACATTACTCTGCAGATGTAAGGACAACTTGGATTACTAGAACAATATAAATTATCAGAAAACATCCTGCAGAGTACAGTAAAACCAAGAGTACATGAAAACCAGAGTGTGCAGCTTGGGGAATTTTCTAATATGGGTGTCTGTCACGGCGGAATTCCGTGATTACATCATATTTGGCGCAGATGTGAGGCGGGAAGTGGCGTAGTGCGTACAACTGAGCTGCAGTCGTGCAGAAAGAGACCTGCTTGAATCCTGCTTGTACGCACTACATGATGTAATCACGGAATTCCGCCGTGACAGCAACCCATCCGAGCTGCACACTCTTGTTTTCATGTACTCTTGGTAAAACCTGTCGAGACCACCGCTCTGAAAAGGCGATCGCCTGTCCAAAACGACCACTACAACCAGGACCGACGGATTTTACTTCCTGTCAAATGACCCTGGATAAGGAGACCACATGTACACGAAGACCACATTTTGAAGAGCGGTCGGCTTGGGCAGGTTTCACTGTAACAGCTTGCCCCAAAGTGTGTGGATAACTGGAGTGGGACTGCACACTGCAAAGCATCAGGACGACGTCAAGGCGTTCGTACTCACCGTTCCAATTACAGGTGAGTCTTTGCAGTTTTGAATCAGACGCTTGAGCATGGATCCGTCCTCTCGTCCACCACCGGATGATTGATTCACAATATCCTTGGCAGTGCCCTCCTGGAGAGAGATAGAGAGAGAGAGAGAGAGAGAGAGAGAGAGAGAGAGAGAGAGAGAGAGAGAGAGAGAGAGAGAGAGAGAGAGCAATGATCGGAAAGTACGACGGTTTACAATTGGTGAATTCTATCACTACTCTCTTTTTGTGTGTGTAGGGGGGGGGGGGGGGGATTTTCTTGTTCTGGGTGCTCAGACTCACCGCAGCTAGTTCATCTGAAAAAAACTTCGATCAAAACTATTTGACATTATGGTCTCTGTAGTGGAATTCAATCACGGAAACAGACGTCTAAGTGAGCAAAATGGCTCAATCAACCGGTGGCCGACTTTCAAACGAAACGTTAAATTTTTGACCCCGCCCTTCATTGTGTGATGAACATTATATTGGCCAATATAGCTAGTGTTGAAACGATCTCACCGGATACTCGTTAGCTCGCTCGCCAGAAACTCGGCTCGTTTGTGCGGCCAGCTCGTTTGCACTAACGAGCACCGTACACCGTACTCCGTACACATGGCAGTACATGTCGACCGGAGAGTCGTAAAATATTTTACGACTCCCTGGTCGATCGAGAGTCCAGTCCCGCGCAAAGTGAAAATCACTCGCAGTTGCAGTGACTGTATGCCTGCATGACACTTGAGTTGTTTCAGTTGTCGTTGCAGCTTTGGTGGACTCTAGTGATGTCTTGTTCCGCATCTGCTGACCTGTCGCAGGATATGCTTTGGTCACCTCTCCATTCAAGTGAAAGTTACGCTCAGTCGTTTAGAAGTTATCTCCCGCGATGCAGCGAAGACCAGGGCTACTTGCAATCTTTGCAAAAACGGTCTATTCTTACAAAGGCTACTCGACGACGGCGCTGAAAAGACATCTCGACAGCAAACAGCAGTCCGAAGTGAAGCAGCAGCAACCCCAAATGCCGGCGGTGATAATTTGAACCAGCTGAAAAAATCGAACTTTAATAGAAAAAAATTATTCAAAAAATCATATTTGCCACATCAATGAAACTCGTTAGCTCGCTCGATAGCTCGCTCGTTAGTGGAACTGATCGCTCGTTTGTTATAGATACGCTCGTTTCAACACTAAATATAGCCCACCGTTCTGTTTCCAGCACAGTATTGGATAGGCCATATAGCCTCACCACACTCTGCATCATGACCGCGATCCAAATCAGGAGCTCTTTGGATATGGCTCGCCTTCAAACTGAAAGAAAGGTAGCCATGCTCGTAAAGACACAAACAGGGCTGCTGGCCAGGGGAACTTGACCCCAGGCTCGGATCCCGCACCCTCATCAGAATGGCGCTCAGCTCGCACAGCCCAGGTCGCCATTACATACCCAGTAATGTCGCGTATTAAAGCCGCGCTTATCCCTGTAGCAGCCGATGTTAGGGCTAGGCTTATATTCACATCAGCCTTCTATTCAAACCAGGTATTTCTATGTGTGTCAACACTAAAACCAGGCGTATATGCCGACAGGGAATCTTGAAAATCGGGCTTGCATTCAACACAGGCTTCTATGTGAGATAGGCTTTAATACAAGACACTGCAGTAGTCAAGTGTAACACAATCATGCAGCTGACCCCGAGCTGGGTGAGGGGGTAAACGTAACTGGATGCTGCCACTGTACCAGCCTACCAGGCATCCTGCTTCCACACAGGACCTCCATGGGCACAGTACTGATAACACATATACCGTAAAGTCGAGTATAAAAGCCGTGGCTTATAAGACTTTTCGGGGGAATTTTTGCAGGCTTCTGTATGAGACAGGCTTCTATACAAGACAGGTATTTCTATGTATGTCAACACTAAAACCAGGCTTGTGTGCGGACAGTGTACCTTGAAAGTCAGGCTTCTATTCAAGACAGGCTTTATACAAGACACTCCGGTAAGAAGGTGGAATATTGATCTGTAGGGAGGAAGGAGCCAACGATAAGGTAGTGCATTCATGATCACTGCCATCATGTGGCGGACCTACAAGCTACACAGAATGAGGTTCAGCTAACCTTGGTCAATAACTCGCGAGACCGATGCTCATTTCCATCAGTCGACGTCAGAGCCGAGAGGTCAGAGAATATGGCCAACGTTTGCCTGCCAGAGGAAGAGAAAGGGAGAAGCAGAAACACAGCAGCAGTAGATCTGAGCAGAGGCTACACAATACTGTGGATATACCGAGGCAGTGCGCCTAACCTGCAATAGTGCTCAAATGCCCGGAATGGGCAGCGTGTAGTATGCAATAGGTACACAAAAGGAAGTAAAATAGGGCTGTTTCGTTGTTGCTCAGAGTTAAATGGCGAAAACCAATCATCAGATAAAACTTATTTCGGAGGTCGACTTTAGTTTGCGGTGACACTCACATCACACATGAATTGGTTGTTGCACGCGCCCAGGGTATTTTAGTGAGCAACCGTGCAGAGCAAATAGGGCCTGTTGCGTGCGTGTTCTAAACGGACAGGCGGTCATCATTAGGGAGGTTTCGCTCTACGGAATTACGTATGAAAATAACGTAGGAACTGCACGTAATTTTCATACGTAAAAATCAGAGCTGTTGAGTTTCGCTCTACGTGATTTCTCCACGACTGCTAAACATGCCTTGTTGCTTTGGAGACGCGTTGACTGCATGCGCCCACCGTATGCACCACGAACCGAAACCGTGTTTTCCATTTTATTTTGCACGTGATGTACGGTGCGTGTACATTGTGTTTCGGCGGCTTGTACGTTGCCATGGATAAATCCGGAAAATGCAAAACGTCTTTCAAAAAGTCCTTCGGAGGACCCAACGTAGGAAAGAGCTTTCCTACGGAAATCCGTAGAGAGATTTATGTATGAAAGTTGCCCTCGCTCCCCGGGGCGTCCGGATTTTCATACGTAATTACGTAGAGCGAAATCTCCCTAATACCAGCCGAAAACACCAATCACCACTGGTGTCACAATACACTGTGGAAGATGACAACACAGACTTCAGTGAGACCCCATCACGAAGAAACTTTTTCAACACATTGGTGTTCAAGACCGCGAAGTGTGTGCTCTTTCCTAGTGTTCCAGCATTCACAGCTGTTGAATAAAATTAATATCTTTGTATTCATAGGATACAAAATATGAACAAGAAGAACTCCTGTTATTGAGAGCAAATGCCATCAGTCCCAAGGTGTTCGTCCTAAAGAGGTATCACAGACTGGTAGCATCATCACTAAGCACCACTATCTCTTACTTGTCCACGCTTTCCCATGTCTTTTGAAGCCGCGACACAGAAGACGAGCCGAGCGCAGACAGAATTGCTCGCAAGGACGAGTAGTTCCGGAGATTCCGGCATTCCTGAGAAAATTTGCACACAAACAGCAAGAAGATGGAGGGTTTGGCAACTGGTCAAAGGAGTAGTATATCATGGGTCACTGAACTGCTACCACAAGTAGGTTGACCCATAACCGGGAAAATACGGTTCACGTACTTAGTGGCCATATGTCTCCCTTCCACAACACACAATAATATAGAGGTCCATCTGCTAACAATATAGAATGCCCCACGCACACCCACGCCACATACACTCATATGTGTGCATGCACTGGAATGCACTGCTTACCTGCGCCGTTCGAATCCAGAATCCTACGGCACAGGCACGCTGCAAGCACTGGCCTCCGCTGGCATCGTAGCCCCACACCGACTTCTCCAGTGGCTCGGCCATGAAGCGCGGCGGCTGAAGGCACGAGGTCATCACCAGGCTGCAGACGCGGTTGAACTGCTCCACTGTGTCCATGACGGAACCGGCCAGACGGCCGCCAGCACCGGTATCTCGACCTCGCTTGCTCCAGATCGCCGCCAAGCACTCGTAGGGCCGTACACGAAGGAACAATCCCTGGACAGAAGCAGCACACGCATGAAACATGAGCAAGCAATGCAGAATTCGCACCCTGGTCACTTTCAAAGCAATACCCATCTGGTTCAGCCACTTGGATCACTTGCCTTGTGCTAAGCATATCCTTGGAAAGCAGGCGGGGGGGGGGGGGGGGGACTGCTTCGCAGAGAGACAAATGACAGTAGAGAGGTTTCCGAGTACGATGTTCCGTACCAAAATCGGTAGAGGCGCTACGGAGTTTTGAGGCGTGCTTCATACGATTTTTCGGCGCGGAGAAACTGCGTGGATTGGTTTTCATAAGTCAAAGAGATCACATAGTGCACCCCGTTCATCCAATTCAAAAAAACTGGGGACAGGTACAAGAAGAAGCGAAATACAGCAACGGGCCAGCCCACCTGTCGACCAGCCCAGGCTGGAGCTGCGCATATAATCACCCCCTAAGAGATACATATTTCATCCTCCGACGAAGCATTATGTGTGCAGAAGCCGGTCAGGTATCATCTTGGGTTCCCTGTAACAAGGCCATGCCTGTTGGGACTCCCCTGTAGTCGAATAATAAATACTACGACTACTACTACTACATTTATTGTAATGTACAAGTATGAATATTAACTAAACAACTGTGTCCTTGTTGTGCTGGGAGATAGATGTATCTTCCCTAGTGTGAGTGATGTGTCGGAAGTTGTTCTTCCAGATGCGAACGTGCGTGCGTGCGTGCGTGCGAGAGAGAGAGAGAGAGAGAGAGAGAGAGAGAGGAGAGAGAGAGAGAGAGAGAGAGAGAGAGAGAGAGAGAGAGAGAGAGAGAGAGAGAGAGAGAGAGAGAGAGAGATACGCACCCCCCCCCCCCCCTCCCATCACACACATACAGAAGGGAAAACAGCAAAGTGAGAGAAGCAGCTCAACTCACAGATTCAATCTTGGTCAGCTCCACAGCCATATCAAACGGCGAGCAGCTGTCCAGATCTGCAGAGTCATCAGTGTCATCATTCACGTTATGCCGTTCATCAGTGACAATTAGACTGGCTACGGAGTGCTTTTCAGCTGTGGAAAGAAAAAAAGAAGAATTTTTTTACAGTCTGCGTTTCACACAGCTAGACTGAGCGTTCCGCATCCATAGGAACGCCGCCACTCCCATCGGATCAAAGGTGCAGATACAGCTACTGAATCAGGGGGGGAGTAGATCAGACCCATCACAAAGCGGTCAAAGACCGAAAATCCCATTTGCTACATCCATGTTTCCCACAAGTTCCCAATTAACTGTGGGTCGCAGCATGGCTGGAAAAAACCCTCCCGCCACCCCAGCAGGACTTGAGCCTGGTACATACCCGTATCCATACTCTCGCTTGCCGACAAGCTGGCTACTGTCGACGAGCTGGTACTGAGCTTCTCAGCGTGGTCGATCGATAATGTCCGGCTGAGGCAGGACTGGGCCAAACCTTTGTCACGAACACTTTCGATCTGGGCACGGTCGGGAGATACAAACAAGAACAAAGTCTGTATTGGGGACCTCATTGATGCAACAGAATTAAAATAAAGATCGCTGTACCAAAACACGCCACACACAATTTGAGCAACTCCATGAGACAATATGCATGCTTGACAGGACACCAATACAGGTGGAATCCTGATAATTCGAACTCTAAAATGCCAGGAAAAACTTCTAATTATCCGGACATTCGATTATCCAAACATGTACCCACAAGGGCCACAACACATTATGTATGTCAAAATGCTCACCCTGTCAACCACAATTGCGCTATGCACCCTAGACACAGATTTCGCGGACACTGAACAGGCCAATACAGGCTACTAATGACAACTGAACTAACTTGTATAATGTACAGTGATATTCGAATTATGCTTTGCTAACTTCAAATTATCAGCACAAATCCCACTCATTTTCTATGTAAGTGGATTCCACGGGCCTTCTAATGAACAGGACAAGCCCAGTTTGAGGTTTGAATTATCAGATATTGTTATGTGGGAATCGTATTGATAGAAATCGGGTTCTGGAAGAAACTTTCAATTATTTAAAGCAATATGTTCGATATAAGCCATATTCGAGCTATCAGGATTCCACCTGTACAAGTTATAAGGCAGCTTCTACGGCGTAGTCCATTCCTCACCGGCACGCACGCACACGCACGCACGCACACACACACACACACACTGGTGGGGGTGGGGGGAGGGGTCAACGGTGCTTAACGTCAATTTTTTTTAAAGCTAGGGTTGGAAGAGTGCAGATGCTTCACGGAATAGGCACAAGAAATAATCACTCACAAATAGCATCAGCTCCTCTTCATCAAAGAAGGTGTTCTTCAAGCTCAGTTCCACAACCTTTCGCAGCTTGTCACACAACACTGGTTTCCCAATGAAGTCCTCCGAGAACTCTTTCAACCAGATTTTCACCACAGTCTGGACATTTCTGTGAGAACACAGGCAGCGTAGAGAATACTAGCAGATGAAAAACAGAACATGGACGAGAGAGAGAGAGAGAGAGAGAGAGAGAGAGAGAGAGAGAGAGAGAGAGAGAGAGAGAGAGAGAGAGAGAGAGAGAGAGAGAGAGGGAGGGAGGGAGGGAGGGAGGGAGAGAGAGAGAGAGAGAGAGAGAGAGAGAGAGAGAGAGAGAGAGAGAGAGAGAGAGAGAGAGAGAGAGAGAGAGATATAGAGGGAGAGGGAGAGGGAGAGGGAGAGAGAGAGAGAGAGAGAGAGAGAGAGAGAGAGAGAGAGATAGAGAGAGAGATAGAGAGAGAGGAGAGAGAGAGAGAGAGAGAGAGAGAGAGAGAGAGAGAGGGAGAGAGGGAGAGAGAGAGAGGAGAGAGAGTGGTGTCCAGTATTCAATCTGTACCTTGCCCTCCAGCCGCTCTCAGATTCCGCAATGTCCACGATTTCCGCATCCTGTGTGGACCGCATGCCAAGAGCCTCAGAAGAATTGAATTGGTCCGACAGGAATACATCCAGTGGATAATCCTCGATCCTGTCGCAACCAAGCGCGAGTCCAAACAAAGAACAGCACATCAGCAAGCACACCACCAATGCAAGGACACACTAAAAGTGGATGGAGACAGGCACATCATGCCACATGTACTTTTTTTAGTTTCATTGCTTTTCAACATCATGGGTAGACAAATGCTATATAAAGGAAACATAATAATATGAATGTGGCAATGTGTTGCAAATATCGCACCAGCACAACATCGCTGGAGGGTGACGTTTGACTGGACCATACTTTTGCTTTTCTTGGCGGATATCTAAAGTATATAAGATCCTAAGAGTGTGCAACTCCTGATACCCTTTCTATGGGGTTCGCCGACGGCGAGCAGCGGAATTATAAAAAGTAATCTGACAGAAACTCATTGCGCATATGCAACTCGCTCGCATGATCATGGCAGATATTCGGATTGCGCGCACGCTATCCTTCGTTTGTGCATAGTACGAAACGTCCCTGATACACGTGATGTGAGTTTTCGCCGTCGGAGACCCCATATGGAGAGTTAGCCAACCACGGCAAGGCAGGGAGAAGGGGAGGAGAAGAAAAAGGAACCGGCATGGATAAGCATGGATAAGCAGCCTTCACTACATCATTTAGCTGCAGTCCACGCACTGCGGAAAAATCAAACTTCACACTTTCCCTCTGGTTTGAAATGAACTTTCGTACAGAACTGGAGTTCTCGTGCCAAGATTTAGAGATTGCATAGGTACTGGAACGAATCGAACAAAACGGTTGGGCTCGTAAGAGAACTCGTGGGTTTGAGTGCATGCTTTCAGAGCGCGATGGAGGCAAGTTACGTAACGAAGGCAGCGTGCCACGCACGGACCCATAACCACAGTTGCATACTCTTGTTTTTGCACTGTTGGAAACATTTTGTACCACATTTTCCGGGGTTATAGTTGCCGCTACCCTGCGTATGCGATCACCGACCAGGATACTAAATGCCTCCGCAATCAACATGTGCTGCACACTCTGAGCACCCTAGCAAGGCACCAGTAAAAGATAAAACATGACATCATTGTCCTATTCCTCCCACCGCTTTCTTGCAACGCATGATGGCCCGCTGGTAAGAGTGTAGCCAAGAGTACATGAAAACCAGAGTGTGCAGCTCGGATGGGTTGCTGTCATGGTGAAATTCCGTGATCACATCATTGTAGTGATGTAGTGCGCACAAGCAGGATTCAAGCAGGTCTCTTTCTGCAGAACTGCAGCTCAGTTGTACACTACGCCATTTCCCACCTCAGATCTACGCCAAATACGATGCAATCACGGAATTCCGCCGTGACAGACACCCATAGTAGGAAAGGCCCCAAGCTGCACACTCTGGTTTTCATGTACTCTTGGTGTAACGCAAAGCACATAAACCAGCAAGTGGCAGCGCAACTGTGCACACGAGACGAGGAAGACGGCGTTCATCGTTTACGTCACTCTTAAAATGAGACGCGGAAGCCAAGATCTGCACCACAGCCTTCCACTGCATAGGTCCAGTCTTCCACAGTATGGGTGACTTGCGCTGTCAATACACCGTTGTGGCCAAGTGGTGTAGCCGATGACGAGCTGCGCTCTCCGAAACTTACATGTGGAGCTGCACACTCTAGTGTCTACTACAGATAGTGCTCCAGGCATACTTGTTACAATTACAATTACAGTCAACTTCGTTTATAACGACACTCGGCGGGGCATCAGAAAAGTGTCGTTTTTCACAAAGTGTCGTTATACCCGTAGTCTCATTATACGTATTACAGATTGATGGAACTTTGCTCTGGGCACGGAAATTCTGTCGTTATTCGCGAATTGTCGTTATATCCGCGGTCGTTATTAGCGAAGTTGACTGTACATACTAGAACTGATGACAGAGTATGGTGAACATGGTTGGGGGGTTGAATGTCACAAAAACCGCATGTCACACTCACAGCATGTCATGCGTGAACTTGCATACGACGCTACACTATACCCTAACCCCGTCAAGTAACGTTGGACTCAACGCTATCTATTAGTCTATAGATTGTGTCTTGGTCGAATAGATTGGTTCGTTTACTTACTGATGGACAATCTCATCAACGACATACTCAGTCGTGGTGAAAGCTCGATACGTCGAAAAGAACACGTGTACGAATGTAGATTCACGATTTATGAGCAGCTCTGTGACCAGCCTCTCAAGTGACGCAGCAGTGAGGGTGATCGTCTTCGTCACCTCCACCGCAGTCTCTCCAGGTGAACAAATTAAATTGTGTCTCCGTCTGAATTTGACTGCGTACAGGGCACTGTTGATGACCTCTTCAGACAATATAGTCTGCGAAAATAAAAGTCGACGGAGAAACAAGGACAGTACAGAGTCTCAGACGACGGGTTTCACAACAAAGAAACTGACAAGTAAGACTGCTTTCCATACCTCATCATGCCGAGACATGCCGAGACTGAAGCAAACTATTTCGATCCACAAATTTCGCTCATCCCTGCCATTGTTGACAAGTTTAGACTATCTCGGCGACCCACTTAGCCTCCGAGATCAGGCTACTGATAGGCACGACACAGGGTCGAATGGCAGTAATCCAATACATCTGGACATCGAATTCAAGCTACGAAGACGAAGTCAGGCACAATGATAAAAGACTTGTGAAAATAATTAATTGAAAATCAACCAAAACTACAGCTTGCCGAAACAAACAAAATGTACGGAAATGCAGGACTCTCTCTCTGCGGCTGCATATGCATGAGAAGCCTCCCGATACATGTATCAGGAAGTCATCAACGACGTACATGTAGCAAGTTATGCAACGACGTTAACCATTAACGTGCACACAAAACCAAGTACGTGCTTGAACCAGAGACGAGGCGTAGGCCTACAAAAGTTGTAGCTCCGGTAGTTCCCAGGATCGCATAGCACTCCGAGCAGATGCCACACTCATCTGAGGCTGCGTTTACACGACAACGCACGGCCAGTTTTCCGTTTTCAGTCCCGCATTTCTTCTTTCGTTTTCGTGCGTCATGATCAAAGCTGATCCGAGGTGGTCTCCGTTTGTATCGTTTTCGCGCGTCTACACGGCCGGGAGCAAAGGATCCGCAAAAGTTCGTCATGTGCCAAGTGTTGTCGTGGAAGCACCAATCACACTCAAAACAGGCCACAAAACAACCCTCGAGTCGTCACATGACGAAAATTGTAAAAACAATTTTTTGGATTGCCGGATCCGTGTGAACGGCCGAAAACGGAACAAACGTGACGGAAAACGAGGCCAGCATACCGTTTCGACTGTTTACACATTCAAATTTATCCGGCAGAACATTTTCCGTTTTCAAATTCTTCCACCTTGGCCAGCGTTTTGGTTTTCTTCCGTTTTGGTGTACAACTTTTACGTTTTGCTCTTCGTACCGTCAAGAGTGCATGAAACAGTTGGACTCTTGGTACCGTGTACTGTATCCGAAAGGATTTTGTTGCGTTTTCACCCCCAGCGTTGTCGTGTAAACGCAGCCTCAGCGGCCCTCGACACCGACCAGCAACGTGTCATCGAGCTTGCCTCCGAGAAGGGTGCATGGAGCTGGCTGACGTGCAAGCCTCTGGCGTGCCATGGCTTCTCCCTCAGCAAGGGTGAATTTCGGGACGGTGCCAGTATACCTCCGCTACAACTGGCTGCCAGCCCGCCTGCCATCGGATTGCCCTTGTGGTGCCAAGTTCACCACCTGTCATGCCCTTTCATACCCCACAGGTGGGTTCCCTTATTATTATTATTTATATTATTATTATTTTAATATGGCAATAAGTAGGACGAGCTGAAGCGACATGTGGACTAATTTATTAACAATGTAAGCGATGGAGACGATGCAAGAAACAGCCTAAAGGGTAAGGAAAAATACATGTAAGAAGAAAAAGGGCAATGGAAAAAAAAGATGATTCGAACAAGTTTTCGTACAACGCTCTTCAGGAATCACCGTTGTACTAAAGAACAAAATGAGAACAAAGGAAATAATATAGCAATCAAGGTAGGGTGACATGTAACAATGACAGCACTGGAATATCGAGGTGCGATTTCTCACAAAAGTGTGCAGAAAACAAGGGTATACAAGTAAGAACTAAGCGTGACAAGTGTGTATCAGCAACAAAAACAAAAACAAAAAAGTGAGAACGAATGATAATAATAACAATAATAAACAAGAAGGTGACAAACACATTTAGGCACAAGAGGCAACAACGTTGCCACACTACACAACAGAACACTATTTGAACAATTTTAGGGTAATAACACTATCTTTCTGGACACACAAATTCGGCTTATGAATGCGCTGACAAACAGCTTCCAAAACTTGTAACTGCAAAAGGTAACCATGACGAGCACGGCACAAAACAGAAAAACAGGAATCAGAATAAGTACGACAACAGTCAGTACTAGAAACCAAATGATTGTATACTGAAGACGATGAGTCGCTTTGGCCGGCGTTCTACGTGCGTTTTGTTGACGATTCGTTCATGCATTTTGACAGTGTTGAGAGCAGTGAATTGTTTCTCGATGTGCTCAACAGCCTACATCCTTCCCTCCGCTTTACTTGTGAGCACGAGCAGTCTAGTAAGTTGTCATTTCTAGACGTGCTTGTAGAGAAGACTGGCTGTGAAATGTTGACTTCTGTGTATCGTAAGCCTACGTTCACCGGTCAGTACATTGCCTTCGATTCATATTGTTCGTCTCAATACAAGGTCAACTTAGTTCGTAACCTCGTGGACCGTGCGAAACGTATTTGTTCGCCCAGTAAGCTGCAGGCCGAGCTCGATTTTCTTCGATCTGTTTTCTTGAAGAATGGCTATCCGGAATTCTTGTTGCGTAAGTTTCTGTCCATGGAGCATAAACCGAAATCGGTGCTGATTGGTCCACCTCGCTGTCCCGTCTATCTATGTTTGCCATGGAAGGGGCAGGAGTCGATCAAAGTGTGTCACGAAGTCAAGTCTATCGTCCGTCGTACTTATTATGCAGTACATTTTGTGCCAGTCTTCACAACAATGCGTGCGTTCACGGTGCGGAAGGACGTCCTACCAACCCTCCACCTCAGTCATGTTATCTACAACTTCGAATGCCGACATTGTGCTAGTCGGTATGTTGGTAGGACTGTTCAGCACCTGAACGCACGTATCAAACAACACACTCCACTTCACATCCTTCCACCCAGTGCGCAATCTGAGAGGCCCAAACGCGGGAGGCCTAGGAAAAACCCATCACTTAGACGGCAGGATAGTTCCCTGCCGCTGTCTGCCGCTCCCCCTCTGACATCTGTGTTGGACGGGCTTGAGCTTGGCAGCTCTTTGGAGGTGCGTGCGGAACCGCCATTGGTGCAGCCCTCGGGTGTGCCTAAGTATGTGCCTCTGGGTGCTTTGCATGGGGCTGTGCCTCGAGTGGTGACAGCATCTCTGCCTCCCCCTGACCCTCCTCCTTCGAGGTCTGTGTTGGTGGGGAGCACCCGCGGCGGTCGATTTGTCCCACCGGAACCAGAGCTGGATTCAACAGAAAGACCAACAACCATGGCTGCAACAACAACACCAGCTTCACATCCAACAACAACACCAGGTTCACATCCAACAACAACAACAACTAATCCACAAAACAAAGCAGCAAATGACAGACCACGGAGATCTACAGCAGATTACAACCGGACCTATGAATTCACGGTAAACATACAAAGGAAACAATCGGAAAGGACGACGACTGACGTGAAGGCAACGGCATTCCCGGTTGGCGTGGGTGGTGAAGGTGAGACGCAGGACGATGCAAGTGAGGAGGAGAGTCAAACCGCGGTGGATGACGGAGCAGGTTCTGATTCGGACAGTGAGGGAGGGGGTGAGCTGAGTGAGGGTGAGAGTGAGTGTGAGGGTGTGCGAGTGAGTCGAGATTGTGTGCGTCCGTTTCGTAATAACAAGTCGGATATGCTGGTCGATGCTATACAGTCCTCTTGCTATGACGAGTGTGACTTCTTCCTGACGGGGGATTTTAATGCCAAACATAATGATTGGTGCTCTTCTGACTCCACCTCTACAGCCGGTACCAACCTACAGACAGTTTTTTCAATGCTTGGGCTCCAACAACTAGTGAGTTTCCCAACATACACTTCATCAGCGGGTGCCAACTCATGTCTTGACTTGTTGGTAACCAACAAACCCCGACACGTCCTCTCAGTCGACCACGCAGCTCCTCTTGGCACATCTGATCATCTGCAGGTTGTTTGTACGCTCAACTATGCATCGTGCTCGACACCACAAGCGACTGCTAAATCGTCCCTCCATCCCCAGGCTCAGTACAGGTATAAACAAGTGCCTACCCGTGTCTGGCAGGTTGTGAATGAAGACTTGTCTAGGTTGGACTGGTCATTACTTCATCGGCATTCTGATGTTGATGATGCCATTGTCCTGTTTGATGCTTTACTACAGTCAGCATTCCATCGTCATCTGTTGCCTTACAAAGTTATTCCGCGGACAGGAGACTACATTAGGCCTCGTCCTACTATGCGGGATGCATCCCGACCCTGGATCACTCCGGACCTCAAGTGTGCTGTGAAACTGAAGCGAGATTTGTATAGCATTTATAGGAAGTATCCAACCAGTGAAAACTTCATTGCCTTTAAGCGCAAGCGTAACGAAGTGAAATGTTTGTCACGTACCCTCCATCGTCAGTATGTACAGTCGGTTCATGCCACCCTGTCTTCCCATGATCGCCCTAGTCTCCATCAATTTCTCCGCCATCTCCGTAAGAACTGTAGTCGGGAGCCGATCCGATCAATGACAGCTTCAGACGGCACGGTAGCAACAGATCCCGCAGACATAGCAGACATATTGAACACGCAGTTTACGTCGTTTGGACTTCCTGACGACCCTACGTGGCCTATACCACCACTCACCCCTTCACCCTCAATACCTGCGTCCCTCCTATCATTGTCGACTGGTACAGCCCAAGTGAGGAAATATCTCCGTAATCTGAAAACTGGCAAGTCCCCTGGTCAAGACGGAATTACCAACGAAGTTTGGAGAGCTCTTGCTCCGTCTGTTGCCTATCCTGTGTCAATTATCTTGAATATGTCATTTCGTGAAGGGAAATTCCCAGCCATGTGGAAAACTGCGGTAGTCGTGGCCACCTACAAAAATAGAGGACCACGCACCACCCCCAGCAACTATCGCCCTATCTCATTGCTCTCTACTTTATCAAAAGTGTGCGAACGTGTTGTATATGACATCATTTATGATCATGTTCGCATTTCACTTTCGCCAGCACAGTCGGGCTTTTGTCGGGGTGACTCCACCAGGTACCAGGTTACCCGCCTCGTGCAAGACATCCACACCGCCCGGAACGCCCATAACCATGTTGGTTTAGTTTTCTTCGATCTCGCAAAGGCCTTCGACACTGTTTGGCACAGGGGTCTCTTAGCTAAGCTGCGAACAGTATATCGCATTGATGGCAAGGCTATCGGCTGGCTCTCATCGTATCTCTCTAACCGACATCAGCTTGTACGCCTCTCAACTGTGTCATCGGAGCCTTTACCCGTTACTTCTGGAGTCCCCCAGGGTTCAATCCTTGGGCCACTGCTATTTCTCCTGTATATTAATGACCTCCCCGATATTGCCCCTGGTGTCAGCCTTTTCGCTGACGACACAGCTCTGCTTTGCTCCAAT